CCCCTCCTCCCTTCTTGAAGCTCCTCTTTTACTCTCCTGTCTGTGGGCTATTCTCTATGGAAAGATTCTCTGCTGATCTTCCTTGGGAAGAAAGTGGGTGCTGGCTTCCTGTGGGCTGTGCAAAGCTACAGGGTAGTTGGAATTTTGTCCTTGAGACTGACATTCTTTACTGGGGCAGTACTAGCTTTTGTTTCCTTTGCACTGGAAACTTGAGTCTCTTCTCTCCATGGTGCTGGTCACCATGGAACCTCTGTAGTCATAGCCCTTGGTGGAAGAAGTGGACAACGGTTACTTACCTTGGGCCACCTCATTTGCTGAGCTGAAAAACTGAGACTGAGGGTAGAAGAGCAAGCATCTCGACAATCCAGTGCACCAAGAAGTGAGGACAGAATCCTGGTCCCCAAATCCAGGGGCTTGTTGGGCCTTTAGGTTAGGGCTGTTCTGATAGGGGAAGGTAACTCCTCAGTGCCCAGTGTAGTGGTGGGTGCAAATGAGGGTCCATGAAGTATGCCTCGGGGTTCTGGCACTGAGTGTCCATGGTAAATCCCAACACTTTGTCTACCTTTGTGCACGAATTTCTGACTCTGATTTTATAGTTTGGATATGAATCTTTAAATTTCTCTGAGCTTAAGTAATTTTTCTGGGGAAGTGCCACCTGTTGCTCTCCCATAAGACCTGGTTGTTTGTCCATAAACAACAAGGTTTGGCTACCTCTCCGAGGGCAGTTGCCTATGAAATCCTGCACTGCAGACCCTGCACTGGAGACCTTTAGGGGCCTGAAGGATCAAAGGTGCACACCCAGGCAGGGGTAGGCCTGAAGGGGCTCTGCCTGATGGGATGCCTTGGCAAGCTATAGAGTGGTTTCCTATCTGTAATACTAGTGTCCCTCGGGACATGGAGGGATGGGTCTGACTTGGCCTATTGCCATTTTGACTGCTGAAGAGGCTGGGGGGCCGTCTTGTTCAGAGGCCCTTTGTAGTAAAGATGGCTGTGGAACCTTATGCTAGCTAGACTCTTTGGGGAAACTGAGGGAGCAATAGCTACTTTGCCAGTGTAAAGTGAGATATAGGGCTGAGATTTCATTATAACGTGAATCTAAAGTATAGCCCAGTAGTTCTCAATCCTGTTTGGACATCAAAACTGTGTAGGAGTTAAAAAACAAAACGAAAAACAGATCCCTGTGGCCTGCTCCCTACTGATAAACAGTGTGTTGAGTTGACACTCATGGAGACACCATGTGTGTCAGAGTAGAACTGTACTCCATAGGGGTTTCTATGGCTGATTTTTTTGGAAGGAGATTGCCAGGCCTTTCCTCTGAGACACCTCTGGGTGGACTTGAACCACCAAGCTTTTGTTCAGCAGTCACTCATGTTAACTGTTTGTCTTACTCAAGTACTCTGTGGCCTGCTCCCTAGAAGACTCTAATTCAGTAGATCTGGGATGGTTTCTTGGAATCTATCATTTTAACCATTCTCAGGTGGTTCTGACTGACAGTCAAGGATGAGACCAGGAGTTGTAGCTAAATATTTCTTTTCACATATAATTTGTGTAGATAGTGTTCTGGTTATCTAGTACTGCTCTGACAAGAATATACCACAAATGGGACGGCTTGAACAAACAGGAGTTTATTCTCTTGCAGTTCGGGAGGCTAGAAGTCTGAGTCCAAAGTGCCAGGCTCTAGGGGCTGGGTGAAAGCCCCTTGACCTTGGGTTCAGCTCTGCCTCTTGCTCCTGGCCCACTGAAGCTAGAGGCATCTCTTCACTCAGGCAGCTACTGGCTGCTGAGGCTAACAAGGCCAAGGTCGATAAACAAAATGGCACAGTCTCAATGTTACCAAACCACATGGCAGGCCATTAATTCAAGTCCATTGAAAGTCCCAAGGTCGGCAGAGCATGGCAGGCTGCTGAACAACGACATGGCTACATGCAGAGTTCAAGCGTGTCATAAGCTAGAGACTACTCCCAAAGCTGTTTCTTATATATGAGAAGCAGACCACAGAGCCAAAGGCAGCTACTCAGCTGGTCACAGTAGATTCCACTATGGAGGTGATTACCAGTCTCATCATGAGGAATACTACATCCAGCTGCCCAGCCACTCAATCAGGCCTTGCCAAGTTGATACACAAACTTGATACACAAACTTAACCACTGTCGTCTGGTTAGAGGTATGGTTAGCAGGAAGGAGTCCATGGGGCCTACAATTCTCTCTGTCCCCAAACTTCTGGACTCTAGCTTGCTTGTTTTAATTTCAGCCTTGGAAGGTCAGTCTCAGCCTGGAACACTCCTGCTGGACTCTGTCAATCTCTTGAGTCTCTTTCCCAGCTCATTGGGGTACTGAGTCGGATGTTGTTGCCTGTGGAATAGAATCTTCCCATGCCTTGCTCAGGAGAAGTACTGGGTCTCACAGACACGAAAAATATGCTGTTTTTCACCACCATTGTGGTTAAATCCTTCTTATTTCAGTAGTCACTAGACAAGGAATTGCCTTCTTCCCTGGTTGTGAGGAAAATGCTCTTCAGACAGAGACGCTAAGTGGCTTGCAGTCCTATGCTGTAAAAAGATCCAACTGGGGCTAGGGTGGCTGGTCTGGGATCTCTGTTTGGCCAGAGGGGTTGCTAGGAGATACTGTGCCTTCTGGCTCCTCAGTGGGGACAGTGGCAGGCTGGCTTCCAGATGGATGGCAGTTTTTCTCAATTCTTGAGTTGAAACTTGTTGCTTAGCAAAAAGGGAGTTGGCAACGCATTGTGCCGTGTTCCCAGATGATATCTTAAGGAAACAACTCTCTCGAGTAGAAATGGGGAGATGTAGGCTTTAACCCTGATTTTGTCATTTACCTGGCCATTCACCTCCATTGCCTGTCTGGGGGAAAGTGGACCAGTATTTCAGTAAAGAATTAATCAGATTGTGTGATGTCACAGAGTTTGTCATGTGGAAAGAAAATAGGTTCATGGCAAGAGCTGATGACTGACCCTAAAGGCTGAAAAGGGGCTGGGAAGAGGATTGAAGTAGTCCAATGGTCAGCTGCTGCTGTTGTTGTTGTTATTATTTGCCGTCAAGTCGCCCCTGACTCATAGGGGCCCCTTCAGAGCAGTGGCTGGTGGGTTTGAACCGCCAGCCTTCTGGTTAGCAGTCAAGTGCCTTAGGCACTATGCTACCAGAGCTCCTATGGTTGGCTGCAGGGCAGTGAAATGCCTAGAGGGTCAGAGGCTTGGTTTGTTCAGTGAAGGGAGAATGAGGGCCTAGAAGTTTACATAGAGACAGGCACTTCCGGAAAGAAACCTGAAAAGCTGGTTTCCAGCGAGATCCCCACCCCTTGCCCCCAACATTTGAGTGATAAGCAGAAGTATAAAGAAGAACCTTCCTCATGGTCTTTCAAGGAGGCTGGCAGAGTATTTTTTTTCTTTAATTTTTATTGTAATTTAGGTGAAAGTTTATGGAGCAAATTCATTTTACATACAGTAGTTTATACACATTTTGTCTCAAAACATTGACTGCAATTCCCCACAGTGTAACAGCTCTCTTCCCACTTCCTCCATGTAGTTACCTCTTCCCTGTGTCCTTCCCTCCCGTGCACTCCTGCCCCCGAACTATCTGCCTGTGCAAACACTGCCCTTCTATTCTCCTACAACTGATCACTCCAAGTAGTCTATCTACCTGGTGTAAATGTTCAGCCCATATGCCTGTCTATTGTTTGGCTGGAAGCCACAGGAGTGAGTTCAATTCCAGAACTGAAGGGTAACTAGGGGCCATAGTCTCAGGAGTCTCACCAGGCTCTATCAGACCAGCAAACCTGGTCTTTTTTTTTTTTAAATGATTTTGAGTTTTGTTCAAAGTAATTTTTTTAAATTATTATTTTGTTGTGAAAATAAATATACACAACAAAACAGTTGCCAATTCAACAATTTCTACATGTGCAATTGATTACCTTCTTCATGTTGTGTTATCATTCTCACTATCCTTTTCCAAATGATTCCACCACCATTAGCTCAATGCTCCCTAAAGAAAAACTGCCTTTCCCTCTTCTTCCCACCCCTGATAACTGCTAATAATCTTTGATTTCTATGTATTTACTTATTTTATGTAAGTGACATACAGTATTGGTCCTTTTGCAACTGACTTATTTCACTTAGGGTAATGTTTTCAAGGTGCATCTATGTTGTGTCAGGCATCAGGACTTCATTTCTCTTTATGGCTGAGTAGTATTTCATTATGTATGTATCCACTCATTGGTTGATGAGCATTTCAGTTGAGAATAATGGATTTTGAAGAAAATAGGAACTGAGGGAGAAGCAAAGTGTCAGGCTCTACCTTGTGTCTGTGTCAAAGTGACAAGTAAAGACTAGTTGATTGGTGTCTTTGATGAACTTCCTAATGAACTCTTTCCACAGAGTCAAGCAAGCTGGTACTTAGACACTCTGAAGTATCCAAAAAAAAAACCAAAACTCTGCCGTCGAGTCGAATCCGACTCATAGTGACCCCTCCTTGGGTTTCCGAGGCGTTATCTCTACGGAGGGAGCTCTGGTGGCATAGTGCCTAATGCATTCGACTGCTAACCAGAAGGCTGATAGTTCAAATTCACCAGCCACTCCTCAGAAGGAAGATTGGGCAATCTACTTCCGTAGAGATACCACCTCAGAAACTCAAGGAGGGGTCACTATGAGTTGGATCTGACTTGACGACGGCAGTGAGTTTGGTTTTTTTTATTTTATCTCTATCCCTTCTGACAACATGATCAAACCAGGTGAGACAAATTCTGGCCATTCTTGTTTCTAAGGAACATTCTGGCTGTACTTCTTCCAGGATAGAGCTGTTCATTCTTCTGGCAGTCCATGGCATTTTAGCTATTCTTCACCAACACCACAATTTAATGCATCCATTCTCCACCATAGGCCTCTGGATGTTCCAGGTTGGACCCCTCTGGACCCCCAAGGACTGTACTCCAAGATCAGTAAGGAGTTGCTGTCCCTGGACAACTGTCCAGGTGCCTTCTCCACCTGGGCCATGGGCACACGTGATGATGTCCCTTCAGGTAAGGGTACAAGGCACCTAGGGAGGCCTGGTGCTGGTGATTCTCAGGCTGGGAGTGGGGTGGGCCATGGGGATGGGTATCTTCTCAGCTATTCCCAGGGGCTGTTCTGACTACCAGTTTTGCCAGGTGGCTGTGCCTTCCTAACTTGACCTAGCTCTCCATGTGCTAATGTGGCCCTCCCTGCTCAGCATGGTGTCTAGGTGGCTCCCTGGCCTGAGGAGGAGCTCTAAGTGTTCCATGGATTTGTACTGAGCTTGGCCTCTAGTGTCTGAGGCATCATGGGCTGAATGAGGGGCTGATACCTTTCTGTGCTTGGCGTTTTGGCATGACTAGAGGATGTGGGGCTGAGACCTCAGGGAGGGCTGGATGAGCCCCTTTACTTAGCTGTTGAGCAGGGCAATGGGAACAGACTTAGCATCAGGAAACAGGGGTCCAGGCCTGACTCTGCTACTGAGAAGCCAGCCGTGTGGGCCTCAGTTCCCTCTGGAAAGTGAGGGGTCAGTCCTGCTCCCAATGAAATGGGCTGCTTGTGAGGGATTGAGGCAGGGGCCAGATGACCATCTGGAAGGAATGTAGAGAGCCACAGAATGCCCGAAAGCAGGACTGGTCAGGAAACAGTGTCAGGATGTCTAAGGCAGAACTGTCTGGGGCTTTGATAGATTAATGTGAAAACAAAAGAATTGCATAATTTTATGCTACATCAGATACTGCTTGATATTAAGGAGGTGCTGACAGCTCAAGAAAAATATGTAAATCTATCAATAAAATGAAGATGTTATTCATTAATTTTATTTTCTCTGATTATTAGAAAACTACTTCCAGTTCCTCAGGCTTATGCTTCCTTAGGGGATATAGAGTATGAACCCTGGCTTCATCCAGCTCCTTTGTTTTACAGACTCAGAGAGTTTAACTTATTTCCTCAAGGTCACACAGGTGGCTGAAACAGGGCTGGAGCCTAGACTCTACGTTCCTTGAGACTTTTCAGCCTTGGGGTGTGAGCTCTGGGTTTTTACCTGTGTATGGTCTTCTCCACAGGGTGGGTAGGAGTTCCACAGAGGTTCCAAGGTTTGCTTGGGAGGGGCTGCGCCTTCAGGGTGTAAGACTGACCATCCAGCTCACACACCTTTGTTACGTGCCTACTGAGCTTTAGGTAACCAGTTGCCACTGAGTTGACTTTGACTCCTGGTGACCCCATTTGTGTCTATAGGGTTTTCAGTTGATTGATTTTTCAGAAGTAGATTACTAGGATTTTCTTCCAAGGCACCTCTGGGTGGACTTGAACCAGCAATCTTTCAGTTGGTGTGTTAACCATTTGCACTCCCCAGGGACTCCGCATCAGGTACTAGGATACAAAAATGAATGAGATACAAAAATGGAGGCCACAGGGAAGGGAGGGAGATAGACGTATGGAGAGGTGAATGTAAAATGGGCACCTCCACCAAACACCTTTGTTTGGGGTGTCAAACAAAGTGCCTGAGATGCTGAAGGAGCAGGGAGGAGAGGAAAGTTATGAAAAGAGTGGATGCCTGGAAGGAATCCCTCTCTCCTGTTCCTGGCCAACTCCTTCTCCTTGCTGAGGTCTTGGCCCAGTGGTCCTTCCTTCTGGGAAGCTTTTCCCATCTCAGCTTTGGGTGGCTGCTCCTGCTGTGCAGGCTCACAGCCCCTCCTACCCTGCCCTTTCCACAGCATTATTCCTTGCTAATCATCACCTTTCCTAGCCACAGCTGGCAAGGCAAGGACTGAGTTGGCCTGGTTACTGCAATGTTGTCATGACTTAGCATGATCCCTGCCGCAGAGCAAGCACTTAATTAATAACTGCCGCTTGCAGAGCTGGGGGATGCTGAGGCGAGAAGAGGACAGATCAATGTAGGATGTGCTGCTGTGGTGCTTGAGGCGTTTCAAGGAGGGGAGCTATGCAGGTGACCCCATGCTCTGCTCTGCAACCAGGGGGAGAGGTCAGGCTGAAGCTGTGGCTTTGGGGGAGCTCCACATGTGAGCGATCATTGAAGGCATGGCAATGAGTAGGTGGCCTATGAAAGCAGCTAGTGAGATATGTGTGATGGACAGAGGCCGGGGACACCAGGGTTCAGTGTGATTGGGCAGTGTAGGAGGGGAGCCCACAGAGGAGACAGAGGAGGCACTATCAGAGCAGACCAGAACCAGGAGGATGAAGGCAAGCCAAGTGTGAGGAAAGAGGGAGAGCTAGGCCGAGAGGACTGAACAGAGAAGTGTGTGGTATATGTGGATGGAGACCATGGGTGTCTGGGCTGGCTGGAGTCACATTGTGAGCCCCCTCTGATGGCCAGTCTGTTTGGGAGGACAGGGTGTATGCCCTTAGTTCTTTGGGCAGGGGTAAGAGGGGTAAAGTCTCCCCTGGCTGCTGGTGCTCAGGGGCATAGCACCAGTTTGTTCCTCACCCTGGTCTCAGAGGACTCTAATTTGCTGCCTCCCTGTGGTCTGTCCCCAGCCAAAGCTCTGGCTCCTGTGGCCGTGTACTGTGGAAGCATCCCTCGGGTCAGTGCCAGGCCACGTACACTCCCGGGTGGCAGCGTGGACTCCAGCCTGCAGGCCTACGAAGAAGGTGAGACCCAGCAGGGCCAAGGAGTGCCTGGATGGCCTCTTGAGGGACTTTGGACAGAGAATGAGGGACACATCTGGCAGCTGCCCAGTCAGGGCCACTGACAATAGGGTAGATCTCAGAGATCTGGAAAGGAGTGTGTTTGGATGGTGGTTGTGTTCTAAAGTCACCAGCAGATGTTAGTTTTACTGTGGCTCCTGCTGAAAATAAAACTAAAACCAAACCCACTGCCATGGAGTCAATTCCTACTCATTGCGACCCTGTAGGATAGGGTAGAACCCCTCCCCCCCGTAGAGTTTTCAGGGCTATAAATCTTTACAGAAGCATATTGCTGCATCTGTCTCCCATGGAACCTCTCCTGGGGTTGAACTGCTGACCTTATGGTTAACAGCTAAATGTTTTAACCACTATGCCACCAGAGCTCCTAGTTGATTTTAAATTTGTTCGTTCAATTCTGTGCCTCAGGGGATAGAGGTGTATTGAGAGGGACAGAAATAGGGAGGTGGAGCTCTCTGCAGGCAACTGGCCCAGGGTCTGCCACCCCATGAGCCCCCTTGCCTTGGGAACAGCACTTGAGTACAGTCCTGGAAGTGGGCACCTCTAGATTGACAGCTGTCGCTGTGGTGGTTTTCACAGACACGAAACAGCTTCTTGCCACTTCCTGCTAGGTCACTTCCTGCTTTAGCTTCCAGCAGTGTTGTAACTTGGGGGGTGGAGGAGTATGGACTGTATGTCCTGACCCTGTCAGAAGGAGTGACACCAAGATGACCCCAGGGTCTGCAGTGACAGCAGTGGTGGACAGGTCAGAGCAGTTGGGGGAAGGGCTGCCAAGGCAGTGGTGTCACTAGGGTTGGTGTTACCCCCTACATGTGGGCAGGCCTCAGAGCCTGCCATTGAGTAGAATAGAGGGTCTTCCCTTGGCCAATAGGAGAGGGGAGGAGCTTGGGGGTGGGGTGCTGGGGAAGGGAGGGGTGGGCATTGGGGCAGGGAGGGGCCCCAACGGCACTGCTCAGCCCAGTCTGGGGACTATGTAGCCAAACAAGTCCTTTCACCAGGATGCCTTTGCCAGCCAGCCCAGCCCATAGGAGGGGCGACACCATGAGTTCCCACACTGGGTGACACCAACCCTGGTGATGCCATTGGCTTCCAGGTACAAGCTGTCCTTTCTGCAGAAGTCCTGTTGCAGTGTTTGGATGGATAATTGGATTGCTCTGAGTAACTGCCCTCCTCTGTGATGGGGCAAAGCTTTCAGGCTGGCCCCCGATAGGCTAGAGGCTGGCTCAAAGTTTAGCTTCCTTGGTTGGGGAGCCCAGTCTAGTACCTGTGGCCTGGGCAGTAGGATCTGTGGCATCAAGGGTCCTCCTACAAGAGGCTGGGGGTGGGGCAGAGATTCTAAAAGCTGGTGTGTCTGTGCCTCCCCTGTGCCTCCATGTTCAGGACTCCAAAGGCCTCAGTTCAAAGGCAGTCACTTCATGAATATTTTCCAAACCACCTTCTCTCTCCTCCAAGTGCACAAAGCATTTTGTTCATATGTCTGTATACGCCTCACTTTTTACCTTGTGATATTCCTAGTTACATCCTATTTCTCTAATACAAGGAACTCTATAATATAGTGCCTAAGACATTTGGCTGCTAACCAAAGGTCAGTGGTTTGAACCCACCAGCTACTCCACAGAAGAGAGATGAGGCAGTCTGTTTCCATAAAGATTTACAGCCTTAGAAACCCAGTAGGAGTGACTGGGGTCTTAAAAGCTTTTGAGCAGCCACCTAACGTGCAACTCTTGGTCTCCTTTCATCTGAAGCAAAGAAGAGTGAAGAAAATCAAAGGCATCTAGAAACAATTAGTCCAAGGATATGATGGACCCTGAGACCAGAAGAACTAGATGGTGCCCAGCTGCCAATGCCAACCACTCATCAAAGGATCAAAACTGGAGATCCTAGATAGAGCGGGAGGAGAAATGTGGAACAAAATTCAAAAACACAAAAATGACCAGAATTACTGGTCAGATAGAATCTGGTAGAACTCCCAGGAGTATGGCCCTGGATTACCCTTCAGGCTTAGAATTGGACTCATTCCCATTGATTGGCTCTCAGCCCAATAGTTGAAAGACCTACATGCAGAACACCTACCCCCGGGTGATGCACTCACCTACTCTAGGGAGATACAACCCTTACAGCAATTGGCCATGAGGTACCACAGGGACAGCATTCACATAGAGGGAAAGCTAGACAGACAGGAGTGCACAGTTAAGATGGGCACAGGGAGGGGTGGTCACAGGAATGGGAAGGGAGGAGAGTTTGTTATGGTCAGGGATGGTAATCTGGGTGTGAAATCAAATGTACATGAACTGTTGAATGTAAAACAAATTTTGCTCTGTAAATTTGCACCTAAAGCACAATAAAATTAGAAAAAGAAAAAGAAACTCAATAGGGGTTATTATGAGCATGAGTGGCAGTGAGTTTGGTTTTTGCAGTTTCTCTAATACATTGACACTACTCATCTGTCAATTTGTCATGCTGTGGTAGCTTGCATGTTGCTGTGAGGCAGGAAGTTATGCCACCAATATTTTGAATAAAAGCAGGGCCACCTAAGACAGACTGGGAAGAAGGATGGGACCATGCACTTCTGAGAGAATTGGCCACTGAAAAACCTTATAAATAGTAGTGAAACACTGTCTGATATATTACTGGAAAACTTTATGAAGTGCTATGAAACACTGTCATGCTGGAAGATGAGCCCCTCAGTTTGGAAGGCACTCAAAATACCACTGGGGAAGAACTACCTCCTCAAAATAAAGTTGACCTTAATGATGTGGATGGAGTAAACTTTTGGAACCTTCATTTGCTGGTGGGGTATGACTCAAAATGGGAAGAAAGGATTATAAACATTTATTAATAGTTGGAACATGGAATGTGCAAGGTATGAATCTAGGAAAATTGGAAATTGTCAAAAATGAAATGGAACTCATAAAGATTGATATCTTAAACATTAGTAAACTGTACTGGCCATTTTGAATTGGACAATCATACGATGTACTATGCTGGGAATGACAAATTCAAGACAAATGGTGTTGCCTTCAGTGTCAAAAAGAACATTTCAAGATCAATCCTGAAGTACAATGCTGTCAGTGATAGGTTAATATCCATATGTCTACAAGGAAGACCAGTTACTATAACTATTATTCAAACTTATGTACCAACCAACAGTGAAAGATGAGGAAATTGAAGATTTTTACCAGCTTCTAGAGTCTGAAGTTGACTAAGCATGCAATCAAGATTTGTTGATAATTACTTGTGATTAGAATGTAAAAGTTGGAAACAAAGAATAAACATTCGTCATTGGAAAATATGGCCTTGCAAAGGGGATATACCTATGACCGTATATAATGTTGGCAGGTGATATTTCTTCATATATATTTGTATGTGCTATAAGAATGTTCATATAAATAGAACTAACAGGGGGCAAAGTTATGGTAATTTCTTAGGCACAGTCAACCACCCTGACTGAGTGAGTTGCGGGAACTGTGGGCTCGGGACCACGGTCACAGGGGACATCAAGCTCAATTGGCATAACATACTACACAAAACATTGTTCGACATCCTACTTTGGTAGCGACTGGAGACTTAAAAGCTTGTAAGCGGCCATTGAGATGGAAAAATGGTTCTCCTCTCATCCAGAGCAAAGCAGAATGAAGAAAACCAAACATACGTGGAAACAATTAGTCCAAGAGACTAGTGGGCCATGTGGACCTCAATGTACATGATCATGAGAACAGAAGAGCTAGATGGTGCCCAGCTACTGCTGTCAACCACTCAGAAAGGGATCAGTGCAGGAGATCCCGAGTAGAATGGGAGAACAATGTGGAACAAAACTCAAAATCATAACAAAAGACCAGGTTTATTAGTCTGATAGAGTGTGGTGAGACCTCTGAGACTATGGCCACTAGTTACTCTTCAGGCCTGGAATTAAGCTCACTCCTGTGGCTTCCAGCCAAATAATAGATAGGCATATAGGGTGAACATTTACACCAGGTAGATACACTCCTTAGAACAATCAATCATGGGAGAACAGAAGGACAGTATTTGCATAGGGAGATAACTCAGGGGGCCAGAATGTATAGGAAAGAACACCGGAAAGAGGTACCTAAAGGAAGGAAGTGGAAGAGAGCTGTTACATTGTGGGGATTGCAGTCAATGTCATGAAACAAAATGTGTATGAATTGCTGTATGGAAAATGAATTTGTTCTGTAAACTTTCTCCTAAATCACAATAATTTTTTTTTTTTTTAAATGGCCTTGGTGATAGAAATGATGCTGGAGATAGCATGATAGTATTTTGCAAGACCAATGACTTATTTATTGCAAATACCTTTTCTCAACAACATAAATGGCAACTAAACATGTGGACCTTGCCAGAGGGACTACACAGAAATCAAATTGATTGTATCTGTGGAAAGAGGCAATGGAAAAGCTCAGTATCATTAGTCAAAATAAGGCCAGGAGCTGACTGTGGAACAGACCATCAATTGCTCACATGCAAGTTCAAGTTGAAGCTGAAGAAACTTAAAAGAAGACCATGAGAACCAAAATATGATGCTGATTATATCCCATCTGAATTTAGAGAATATCTGAAGAATAGATTTGATGCATCGAACACCAATGATAGAAAACCAGAAGAATTGTGGGGTGACATCAAGAACATCATACATGAAGAAAGCAAAAAGTCATTAAAAAGACAGAAAAGGAAGAAAAGACCAAAATGGGTGTCAGAAGAGACTTTGAAACTTGCTCTTGAATGGAGCCAAAGTGAAGGTATTGAACAGATGATTACAAAAGGGTGGCTCGAGAAGACTAAGTAAAGTATTATGATGGAATGTGCAAAGGCCTGGAATTAGAAAACCAAAGGGAAAGAACATGATTGGCATTTCTCAAGCTGAAAGAACCAAAGAAAAAAAATCAAGCCTCAAATTGCAATATTGAAGGATTCTAAGGAGCTCTGGTAGCGTAGTGCCTAAGGCACTTGACTGGTAACCAGAAGGCTGGAGGTTTAAACCCACCAGCCACTCCTTGGAAGGAAGGTTGGGCAATCTACTTCTGTAGTGATACTACCTCAGAAACCCAAGGAGGGGTTGCTATGAGTCAGGTCCAACTCAACAACACATAACTACAACAACAACAACATGGGCAAAATAATGAATGATGCAGGAAGCATCAAAAAAAGATGGAAGGAATAGACAGAGTCACTGTACCAAAAAGAATTGGTTGACGTTCAGTCATTTCAGGAGGCAGCATATGATCAAGAATAGTACTGAAGTAAGAAGTCCAAGCTGTATGGAAAGAATTGGTGAAAAATAAGGCTCTAGGAATTGACAGAATACCAATTGAGATGTTTCAACAAACAGCTGTAGCTCTGAAGGCACTTACTCATCTATTGGAAATAGCAATTTGGAAGATAGCTATCTGGTCAAATGATTGGAAGAGATCCATAGTTGTACCCCTTCCAAAGAAAGGTGATCCAAAAGAATGTGGAAATTATTGAACAATATCATTATTATCACACACAAGTAAAATTTTGCTGAAGATAATTTAAAAACAGTTGCAGCAGTGTATTGACATAGAACTTCCAGAAATTCAAACTGGATTCAGAAAAGAAAGTGGATCAAGGGATATCATTGCTGATGTCAGATGGATCTTGGCTGAAAGCAAAGAATATCAGAAAGATGTTTACTTGTGTGTTATTGACTATGCAAAGGCATTTAACTGTGTGGATCATTGCAAATTATGGATAACATTGCAAAGAATGGGAATTCCTGAACACTTTGCTATGCTTATGAGGAACCTATACAGACAAAGAGGCTGACATTCAAACAGAACAAGGGGATACTATTGTTGTTGTTGTTGTTGTTTGCCGTCGAGTCGGCCCCGACTCATAGCGACCCCTCCTTGGGTTTCCGAGGCAGTATCACTACGGAAGTAGGATTGCCCAACCTTCCTTCCGAGGAGTGGCTGGTGGGTTTGAACCGCCAGCCTTCTGGTTAGCAGTCAAGTGCTTTTAGCCACTATGATACTGCATGGTTTAAAATCAGGAAGGGCATGTGTTAGGGCTGTATCCTTTCACTATACTTTTTCAGTCTGTATGCTGAGCAACTAATCTGAGAAGCTGGACCATACGATGAAGAATGTGGCATCAGGACTGGAGCAAGACTCATTAACAATCTGTGATATGCAGATGAAACAACCTTGCTTGCTGAAAGTGAAGATGACTTGAAGCACTTACTGATGAAGATCAAAGACTACAGTCTGCAGTGTGGATTACACCTCAACATTAAGAAAACAAAAATCCTCACAACTTGTTCTGGTTACCTAGTACCACTCTGACAGATATATACCACAAATTGGGATGGCCTTAACAAACAAGAGTTTATTCTTACAATTTGGAGGCTTTAAGTCCAAGTTCAAAGTGCCAGGCTCTAGGGGTCTGGCTCTGCTGCCTGCTCCCAGCCCACTGGAGCTAGAGGCATTTCTTCACTCAAACAGCTGCAGGCTGCTGAGGCTGAGAAGCCCCAAGGTTGACAAATAAAAGGCACAGTCCCGATGTTACCAAACCACACAGCAGGCCATTAACTTAAGTCCATTGTATGTCCCAAAGTCTGCAGAGCATAGCAGGCTGCTGAGCAATGACCCCGCTACATGCAGGGTCCAAGCGTGCCATAGGCTAGAGCCCATTCTCAAATCTTATCCTTATATGCAGGAAGCAGACCACCTCCCAAAGGCAGCTACTCAGCTGCTTGTGGTAGATCCTACCATGGAGTTGATTGCCAGTCTCATCATGGGGAATAACTACCACCAGCTGCCGAGCCACTCAACCAGGCCCAGCCAAGTTGACACATAAACATAACTACCACACAACTGGACCAATAAGCAACATCATAATAAATGGAGAAAAGATTGAAGTTCTCAAAGATTTCATTTTACTTAGATTCACAATCACACTCATGGAAGCAGCAGTTAAGAAATCAGATGTTGTATTGCACTGGGAAAATCTGCTGCAAAAGATCTCTTGAAAGTGTTGAAGAGCAAAGATATCACTTTGAAGATTAAGGTGCCCCTAACCCAAGCCATGGTATTTTCAGTCGCCTAATATGCATGTGAAAGCTGGACAATGAATAAGGGAGACTGAAGAATTGATGACTTTGAATTGGGGTGTTGGTGAAGAATACTGAAAATACCTTGGACTGCCAGAAGAACAAACAAATCTGTCCTGTAAGAAGTGCAGCTGGACTGCTCCTTAGAGGCAAGAATGGCCAGACTTTGTCTCATCTACTTTGGTCATGTTGTCAGAAGGGACCAGTCCCTGGAGAAGGATATCATGCTTGGTAAGATGGAAGGTCAGAGAAAAAGGGGAAGACCCTCTACAAGATGGATTGGCACAGGGGCTACAGTCTTGGGCTCAAGGATAGCAAGTATTGTGAGGATGGTGCACAACCAGGCAGTGTTTTGTTCTGTTGTACACAGGGTGGCTAGGAGTTGGAATTGACTTGATAGCACCTAACAACAACAATGATACATTGAAAACCCCTTTATGACAAAGACTGTGCCTCACTTATCTTCATATCTCTACTGCCTAGACATTACTTGCACATTAAAAACCAGTTGTAATTGAGTTAGCTTCAACTCATGTTGACTCCGTGTGTGTCAGAGTAGAACAGTGCTCCATGTGGGTTCCAGTGGCTGCTTTTTTGGAAGGAGATCATTAAGCCTTTGTTCTGAGGCACTTCTGGATGGATTTGAATCTGCAACTTTTCAGTTAGCAGCTGAGCACATTAACTGTTTGTATACCTGGGGACTCCTACTTGGTACATAGTAGATGTTTATTAAATGTTTGCTGAGTGAATCATTGGATGTTTGGGTGTGCATGAGAGCATGGTTTGTTCTGAATCACCTGAACTTCTCTTTTCCATCTGTGGTTGGTGTTTGCCAGGTGCTCAGTCATATTGAATACTTATGTTGGATTGCAGAGATGGATGGATGGTGGACCCTGGGCAGATGTATTCATAAGCATGTATGGCCCATTGTCCATGATGTCAGAAGACTACATATTTGATCCCCCTTTTTGTCTCCAAAGTATCTCCTGTCACAAGCTTGGTTCAGATTAGTTGCTTCATAGACACTTTGAGTGAATGAATTGGTGAAGGAGTGAGTGATTGGGATTCATCAGGCAAGTGGCTGACTGTTCCACGACAAAGATTTTGCTGGTGCCTGTTGTCACCTGGGCACTGTATGCCCAGCCACTCATGCCTCTGTCTCCCTCAGCCTCCCTCCAGTCTGTGCCGAATACCCTGCTAGAGAAGCCATCACAACGCCTGAGTGGACCTGGGGACACTGGCAGCCTCAAGCTTGATGCCCACTTGAAGGGCTGGCAGGCCAGAAATGGCCACCCCAGGAGCCTTGGGGCCTTGCCTTTGGGGCCCCACCCTCTTGCACCCCTCCCCTCACTGGAGTCGGAGGCCAGCAGTGTGGCCCGGGACACCACCCAGATCAAGGACAAACTCAAGAAGAGAAGGCTCTCAGAGGGTTTGGCAGCATCTTCCCAAGGTAAGCCCTGGGCCCTGCCCACCTACTGCCCAGCACCCCAAAACCAAGGATGCTAGGCCACCCTGGCTGTAGACTCAGTGGGTAGACAGATGTCATGCTTAGGTCCATTCAAGGCTGGCTCAGGTTATACCCTCCAAACATCCTTTCTCTCTCCTGGGCTACTTCCTTAGAGCATCATCTCCTGCGTAGGTCTCTACAGCAGCCCCCTAGCTGGCCTCCCCGTTTCCATCCTTGCTTCCTTCTAGTACTCTCTGCAGGAGAATCCTTCTTAAATACAAATCTGATCATATTTTGTCCTCCTTTCTCACTTACAACCACCCAGTGATTTTCCTATGCACTGAGAGTGAAACTTTAAGTATTCACGTGCGCACAAGGCCCTCTGCAGTTCTAGCTTCACCCAGATCTTGTGGCTCTGTCCCCTTGATCTCTGGATGTCAGACACACTGGTCTAGTGCCTTAAGCAAATGGGCTTTAGAACCTGCTGTTTCTCCCACCTGGCCTCCATTCCCCATCTGGCAAATCTGTACTCATCCTTGGGTCTTGGCCCAAAAGCTTTCTTGACATAGGCCTCCCTGACTCCCCAATCTGAATTTGTCCTACATGATTCTCTCAAAGAATGCCTTATAGTTTTTCCTCTTAGGTCTTCTCTCAACTTGCATTTGTATATTTGCTTGTGCAATTATTTGTCTAAAATTGAAATCTTGCACTAACAGTGAGCTGCAAGAGGGCAGGGCCTGAGTCCTCAGGGTTAGGTGCAATTGCTTGGCACACTGGAGGTTCTCAAGAAATGTTTGTTGAATAGAGCAGTGAAAAGTTGAATAGCAGGTGCTTCATATTTCTCTCTCATTTGCATGGTGGACAAACCAGGTAAACAGTCCAGGTTCAAATCTGAGCCCTGATTTTTTTCTGGCTTTGGGAAAATCAGTAACCGCTTCAAGCCTCAATTTCCTTCTCTGTGTAATGGGGATAATAACATCTCCCTAGTAGTTTGAGAAGGTGCTCTGGGAGGTGTATGGTTAAGACATTTGGCTGCTAACCAAAAAGGTCGGCGGTTCAACCCACTGGCCTCTCAGCAGAAGAAAGATGAGGTGATCTGGTTCTGTAAAGATTTACACCCTTGGGAACCCACTGGGGGTCACTGTGAGTTGGCATTGACTTGATGGCAGTGAGTTTGTTTTTTCATTAGTACGAGGGTTTAATGAAAAATTGTATGAAGAATTCTTAGCACTTGGCACGTAATAAGTACTTAATAAATTAATTTTTCTTTCTGTCTCTTATGGCCCTGGGCAAATTGTGTAACTGGTTCCTTCTTAGCTCGATGGACTCTTTGGTGTCAAGAGGAATAAGTAGTTTGGAAGTCTTAGGAAGAAAGAGGGAAACTACTCAGGGGCTGTGGTTGCTGCTGCCAAACCTTTTGTTGGAAATGCTGCTCCTCCTCTCCATTTAGCTTCCTGCCAAGGCTTCCCCCTGGAACCCTGGATTGTCTTTGGGTCCCTGGGAGCCCAGGAGGATGCAGAGAAGCCCCACTAAGGAGTCACCCTGTGGCTAGCTGGCACTGAGGAGGCAGCAGGTGGGGCCAAGGTAGGGAGTTGGTGTGCTAGAGAAATTTGCTCTGAATTTCCACATGGTGCAACTTCTGGGTTGCCAGACTACTAACTCCCTCCTTTAGGTGTTTGAAATCTTTTCCTGGGCTTTTTTTTTTTTTTTTTTTAAATAAAGTTCTGGTAGAGGACGAAAAGAGCAGGAGGTGTTCTATCTAATGTATAGATAGGGAAACTGAGACCCCAGGAAGTGATCTATGACTCATTAGGTCCTGAAGTGAGTGTGTGGAGATAGATCCATGATCCCTTGAGCAAGCCTGGGGTTGCTCTGCCACCTTGCATTGGGGCTGTGCTGGCTCTTCTGCTCAGCTGCCCAGGTGGGGGCCAAGGTGGCCATGTGTTGGCCTGTGACCCCTCCTTACCTCTGATCACCCAACACACCAACAATCCTGACAGCAGCACAGTGTGCAAGGGCACAACAGAGCCAGTCCCGGGCAAGGTGGTTGTGTGTGAGGTGTGGAGCACAAATACTTTGACTTGGTTGTTTTGATGCAGCCATTTGATGTGGAACAAAACGGCCCTTGGAAGCTAAAGCACTAGGGTGTTTCTCTCCCCCAGGTACCAATAATGTTTGCAAAGAGAATTCTGAGCTTTTAGCCCATGCCTGTCCCTCTTGCCCTGTGCCTTTGCCCTAGGGATGACAAGGGGGATGTTGCTGTGCTAGGTGGGACAGGGCAGGGGTGGAGTGCCGATGTCTGTTGGGTATATAGGTCATTAATTAAAGAGCTGGAAGTGTGATGGCCTGTCTTTTAGACAATGTCAGAGTGCCCCTGTGTCAAAGCAGCTGCTTCCCCACATCATTAGCTGAAAATGAAGGGGAGTAGAAGTAATTCGCTGTCACTTGCCATGTGCCAGGCACTTGCTTGGCATTTGAGAAATGTTATGTCATTGAATCTTGTGACATTTCCATGTTGCAGTCCTTTTCATTTTGCAAAGAGCAAATGGGGGTTCAGAGACAGTGACTTGCCCAAGACTGCGGAGCTCCTATGTGTCAGGTTAGACTAGAACGCACTGTTCTATGCTCCTAATCGAGAGCTGATGTTGTTTCCATTCCTACCCACACTGCCTCTGAATTTTAAATAGGTGATTTTGATTGGCATTTTCTACCAAATTTTGTAGGAATGAAAACGGCACTAAGCACCATCTGCTCACTCAGCCTAGTTTAGGTGTGGAGCTGGGGGTGGATCCCCTAACCCCCCTTTTTCCTGGGACTAACCTACTTCCCATCTCCACCCTATACAGTCTCTCTGGATCCTGGGGGAGGCCTCAAAGGAGTTCCCCTGAGGAACACCATCCCCCGTTCTACTTCTCAGAGGCTGTTGAGGGTGCCCAAGCTGATGCCGCCCATCCAGAGCATTCCCAACACCCCCGAGGCTGGTGGAGCCAAGGAAAAGGGCCTGGACCCACCCATAAGTGGCCAGGGTCCCCAGGAGGTGACACTTGGTGCCCAGGAGGTAAGGCATTTCTGATGAGTCTTGTCTGCAGCTTCTTATACCTCCCTGTCCTTCTGTTTCTCCTTCATTTTTCACCAAGCCTTCTAGAGGTGCATAAGGGCTGCAGAAGAGTTCAGCAGAGGCAGAGATGGGGATCAGGTGGTGGTGGTGGTGGGGTGTTTGGGGAAGCCCACTTTGCCCCCGGAACACTCTGGGTCTGGTCCTCAGAGAAAGCCCCTGGATGGAGAAGGAGCGGGAGTGATCTAGGCTGAACTCCTCCTGAGTGGGATGAAGTAGGAGTAGGAGCAGGGCTGAATGATCTGGAATTCTGACTCTGAGCACTAGGACCAGCCCACCCAGCTGCTTCTGGGTTCTGTAGCTCTTCCCGTCCACCCACTGGAAACAGGGAAATGGCTCCTGATGGAGAGGAGGAAGCTGGGGTCTAGGCTCAGCACCGCACTAACTCACTGAGTAAACTTGGCTAAGACACTTTCCTCCCTCCATTTTCTTCAGTGGTGAAGTGAGGGATTGACTATGTCATCTGAAATTGACAAACAATACTCTGAGGCCCTGGAGTTCTCTGAAGTTATCTCAGGAGCAGTCTCAAGAATGGGGTGAAGGCATTGGGAGGGACTGAGGGCCTCTACCTCACCTTCCTCCAGAGCATCTAAAACCTTTCTAGCTGAGATACTGACAGTACTGGGTGGCTGCCTTGAAGATAGTGAGCTCTTTGTTCCTGGAAGTACTCAAGTAGAAGCTGCATGGCCATTTGTCCTAGACTTGGTGGTTCCTAGACTTTTCCTGTCTTAACTGTTCCAGAATTCCTCATGCTTTCTGACCTCTCCATTTTAAGCCAGGGAGTATGGCAGAAGGGACAGAATACTGGGCCAGGACTCAAGAGAGGTGGGTTCTGCCAGGCTCTCCCCTTGCTGGCTGTGTGACATCAGGCAGGTTGCTTCACTTTCTGGACCCCAACCTACACATCCATTGAAAAAGGGGGACTGCACCAGACGTTTTTGCAGGTCCCTTCCAACTCAGAGGCTCTAGGAATTTTCTGAAATGACAAGAGCAAATAACAACAGCAACAATTAAAAAAGGATGTGGAATAGGGATGAGGGGAGCACCTTTGCAGCCTTTTTACCTGGAGCAGGAAGGATCAGTGCACTTTCTGGGGCTCACAGAGTTGTATGCATTGTGAAGGGAAAAGGACGACACCTCCCGGCACTCTTGCCCCCAGGGGTTCCCGACAGAAGGGGCCACGCTGTACCAGGTGCTAGGAGGTGGGCAACCAGAGTGGGATGTTCCTATGGACCATGATCCTTGCCTCTGTCTTAGTTTCCTAATGCTGCTGTAACAAATGATAGCACAAATTGGTGCTTTAAATAACAGAAATTTATTTTCTCACAATTCTGCAGGCCAAAAGTCCAAATTCTGGGAGTGGCTCTGGGGGAGATCCTTCTTTGTTTTAGCTTCTAGTAGCTGCAGGAATCTTTGGTGTTCCTGAGTTTGTAGCTACATCTGCTGTGTGTATCTGTCTTCATATGGCATCTCCTGCCCACCACTGACCCCCCATGTGTGTGTCTCTGTGTTTATTGTGCTCTTTTTTATGACTCAGAATTGATTAGGTTTAAGACTCCTGCTGACACCTAATTAGCATAACAAAGAAAATCCTATTTCTAAACAGGATCACATCCATAGGTGCAGGGGCCAGGACTTTAATACATATTTTTTAGGGTTCAATTCAATCCATAACACCCTCCTTTTGTCCAGGTGAAGATCTCCCCACAATATCTACACTGCAATGATGAGAAGATGCGGAAGTCTCTGGGAGGCATCGTAATCCCGCCCATCCCCAAGGCCAGGCTGCCTGCTGGGGCCTCCCCTAGTGTGCCCCATTCCCTTCCCAGCCCCTTGCCTCCAGGCCAGGATGTCCTCACAGGACTGAGGGCCCCACTTACACGGTAAGTGGTCCTAAGTCAAGAATACCTTGTAGTCCCCACTCTCTGAATTCCCCCCGGATTTGCCTGGCTTCCTATGGCTGAAGCTCTATACCAGAGCAGAGCTCTGGAGGTACCAAATATGTGAAGGCCAGGGTCCCCAACCTGTGGGACACAGTCCTGGGATTGCCAGTGTTTCTCTGGTTCTTGGCTCCACTAGGCTGGGTGTGCAGGTGCAATAAACAAGGCCTGAAACCTCTATCTTCTTCCAGTTTCCAAGTGTATGTGGTTGCTGAAGTAATGAATAAAAACAATATTAAAGCACCATCAGATTCAGGGTAGGTCTTTGTTATTATGTATTTTCTTGATTGTTGTCATTACCTGCCTTCCAGTCAGCCCCTGACCATGGCAACACCATCCATACACAATGGAACTAAATGCTAACAGGTCCTGTGCCACCCCTGTGATTGGTTACATGTTGGACTGTTGTGCTTCATAGAGTTTTCACTGGTAGATTATGGGAAGCTGATTGGCAGACTATCTTAGTCTAGAAGCACCAATGAAACCTGTTCAGCATAATAGCAACACTCTTGCCTCCGCAGACAAATGGCTGCTGGCTGCACATGAGGTGCATTGGCTGGGAATGCAACCTGGGCCTCCTGCATGGAATGCAAGAATTCTATTCCTGCCGGCCTCTCCACCCCCCTTTATCTTGATTAAAAGATACTATAAATACAATCATTATCATATAGATGGGAAGTCCACAAAACTTTTGGCTTTAAAATGGGTCTTTGTACTCAAAAAGGCTGGGGACCACTTGGGTTGAGGATCTCTGTGTTGTGATGGACCAGGGTTTATGGCTTGTGAGTGGGGACAGACTTCCCCGATGGTGAAGGATATCTCTGTGGTCCATCCACAATGACATCAGAGCAAGTGTGTGTGTCTGTGTGCACTCCTGGCCCATGGGGCAGGGTCACGATTGAGTTCATGCCATGTTTGACTTCTCTCCCATTTCTTTGGGGCCTTTGCGTACTCAATTCTTTCATTTCTCTCAAGTTTCTTCACCCTCTCCATCTCCCATGCTGCCTTCCCTTCTGCCTGCACACATTTCCATGTCTTCCCAACCTGTTGGGGTATTGGGACCCCATCTATGGACCTGCTGCTGGTTTTGGATTCTCTGCTCCATTTTCACCATCAGCCTGGGACAGGTGGCCTGCTTTGCTCTCTTTCTTCCCCACCTGACATCTCCTCCTTCTTTCTTGCTCAGACATCTCTTCCTCTCTTTGAAAGATGGTTATAGTGAGCCTCTGGCCCTAGACCAGTGGTTTTCCCTCTGATGTCATTATTCCCAACTTCTTTGTATCTTTTGAACTGTTGTCAAACCTTTGAATTTTTCTCTTCCCTGTCTTCTTGACCTTCTACCTGCTCCTTGACCTTCTGGTCAGTCTTCTTTGTGTGCTCCTTCACTCAGGTCTTAAATACAGTCATCCTTGACATTTGTCCCAGAGCCCTTTGCTCCATCTCTTCATTCTTCCCTGGGATCCTTACCTGTGCCCAGGACTCCGAAGATCTCCTGAATGCAGGTGATTTCTGCAGCTCCTCACTAGTCCTGATGTCTCCCTGAGGTCAGGTTCCCTCCACATTTCCATCCTTCTGGTAGGCATCTCTGGAGTTCTCCTGGCTGATAAGATGTGTCATAAGGACAGGAAAGAAAATATCCCACTACTACAGCCAATAAAGTTTCTCCAAACTGCCCACCTCCCTTCCAAAACCAAAACCCAAACGCAAACCCATTGCTGTAGAGTTGAGGCAATCCTGTGTCATACTAGGATTGTGCTCCATAAGGTTTTCAGTGTTAGCAACACTTGGTAGATTCGAACTACCAACCTTTCATTTGGTAGCCAAGCACAAACCATTTGAGCCACCCAGGGAACTGCCTCCCTTCCAAGACCTCCTTTTTTTCTGTCAAAATGCAGCCACTCTTCTTGTTCTTCGAAATTCAACATCATCTCTGTCTTCTTTCCATTGTCTCTGGTTTCTAACAGATTGCTACATCCCATCAAGTCTTTCTTAAAATACACAGAAATACGAAAAGCTACCATCCTTCTCTCGCCCCTGCCTTTTTTTTTTCTCTGTTTGCACTGCCTGGCTCCTTCTTGGCCTCCCACAATATTATCCTAACCTATGTCCTTTGCTCTCCATTTGAATCTTTTTAGTTTTTTTACTGCCACCACCCCAACACCTCTTCTATGTACTACACCTCTGCTGACTTTCTATTGCCAAGAGCTTAAGGAACAGTCTCCTAAATCTGACACTCAGGGCATGTCCCCAGCCTGCCACTCCACATTTCTCTTCTGCCACTCTGCAGGAGCCTTCTTTTCCTTCCACACCCACTGTGGATGTGCTGTTCTGACCTGGAGCCTCGCTTCCCACAGTGAGGTTTGCCCTCACACCATTCCTGCGGCCCCAACATGACTTTCACACTTGCCCCATCTGTTTATTTCTGCTGTTTTTTGAGCCCCAGTTTCATGTCTACTCTTGGTTGAAAGTCTTTGTTGACTTCCTGGAGGGACAAGGAGAGAAAATGACCTTCTCTGCACTGACCACATGGCATTCAGCCCATGGACTGCCTTTATTTTACTTAACCTTTATTTAAGCTTTATCCTGTGATTTAACTTGGCCTACTAGAGGGCAGGAGCTGTATCGAGACATATCTCTGGTTCCCTGGTGCCAGTGCCTGCTTGGATTGGTTGCCCAGGGAGTATCTGCCCACTTGCTGTCAAGCTGTGATGCCAGTTTTTCTCACTGACTCTGTGAGGTGTGGCAAATGGGTGGGAAGGAGGCCCTGTCACCATTTCATTCATTTGTTTGTATTTACTCAGACACTCACTCACTCACTCATCCATCCATCCGTTACTCACTTAAAACTATTAAACACCTTCTAGTGCCAGGTGCTCCAAACCAAACCAAACTCACTGCCATTGAGTTGGATTCGCCTCGTAATGAACCCTTCTTGGGTTTCCGAGGTGGTATCACTACGGAAGTATATTGCCCCATCTTTCTTCTGAAGAGTGGCTGGTGGGTTTGAACCACCAGCCTTCTGGTTAGCAGTCAAATGCCTTAGGCACTATGCTACTAGAGCTGAATCGAACTGAGTAAGACCACAGGGTCTGTGGTCTAGGAGCTCACAGGAGAGATTGACAAGAAAATTGTTAATCAAAGTCCTGTGAGGTTAAGTGCTAAGATAGGTGGCTGCCCACCATGCTGGGGAGCCTCACAGAAAATAGTCTAAATCATATATCAGGCTGGGAAGACTTCTTGGAAGAGGTGAGGCCTGTTGAGCTGAGGAGGAGTTTGTGAGAGGATGAAGAGGGCGAGACATGAAGGAGGAGTGAGTGGGCTGTCAGAGAGCCAGAGGTGTTTGCACCTGTATTTGTGTGAGACAGTCAAGTGAAGCAAGCTGGACTATGGGGACCAGTATGTGCTAAACTGAGGAGGTAGAGTTTTATTCTGAAGTAATGAGGTGCCATCAAAGACTTTTTGTGTTGAGTTACATCAGCTTTGATTTAGAAAGTCCACTTTGGCAAGCACAGAGTGACAGAGGCAAATGGAGGTGAGGGCTGTTGCAGGAATCAGGGGAGAAGCTGTGGGCAGCTGGGTAGGGGCCCAGCAGTGGATCTATGGTGGAGAGGCTACATGGAGGCAGGCAGGTGAAGGGGGAATGAATGAGCTTGGTGACTGGTGGGATGAGGGGAATATATGGGGAGCTAGAAATCATGCTGGAGCTCCTCGCTTCGTCAGACAGAAAACCTGGCTGGGGGCATTTTTGGGGTGGGTTGAGCTTACAGTGCCCTGGGACATCAAGAAGTACTTAGAGGTACCAGCCTGGAGCAGGGAGAGGGCTGTTGCAGGAGACACAGCTTTGCCATTCCCATTCCTCTCCCAGGGTCTGGGGAAGACCCTAAGGTGATGGGGAGGTTTTGGCAGAGGGAGGAGCGGCTGGGATACTGCCTTGAGAAAGGCAGAGGTTCTGATGAGGGAAGGAAAAGCAGCAGCCTGCAGTTCGAAGCTATGGGGCCTGAGTGGGATGAGGCGGGCCTGGGAAATGAAAATGGCACTGGTGCTTTTGCTATCCTGTATCCCCTAAGGCTCCTGTGAGATCCTAGGAACTTGGGACAACCCTAGGGACTTCTTAGCCCCACCTCTCCTGCCTCTACCATTCTCCCCTCCTCCAAAATAATCTTTTGCTTGTGCAGTCTGGGCAGTTGTGGGTTCCAGTGGCAGGGCCCTGGTGGCTGAGCTCACTGTGCCGGGTGCCCTGGTGTGTCATTGTCCACACCAGCCCTCCATGTGGGTCCAGATTCCAGAGCTCACATCTGTTCCAGGGAGGAACTCTAAGTCTTGACTGGTCCAGGGCCATCTTGAAGCTCTGCCCTCCAGTGGACCTAGGACCTTCTGACCTCCACAGCTCCCCAGGATAGGGGTCCCCTGGATCAGGGAAGGCACTGACTCTAGGATAGTGTTGCGGCTATAATTTTGTTGTTGTTGTTGTTTAAATTGTCCTGTTTCAAATTTGTACATCAGTGCAGTGCCTAAGGCATCTGACTGCTAACCAGAAGTCTGATGGTTATGCCACTCAGTGGAAGCGAGACTGGGCAATCTACTTCCATAAAGATTTACTGACTTGGAAACCCAATGGGGGTGGCTGAGTCAGAATCGACTCAATGCCAGTGGGTTTTTTTGTTTGTTTTAATACATAAAATATGAATGTTTCCCAAATAAACTACGAATGTTTCCTTTATAATATATGAATGTTTCTGAGAAGAAATTCTAAATAGTTAAGAGGTTAAACTATTCAAAGGATGCCAAATAATGGTTTAACTGGACTACCACAAAATTAGTATAGAGGACAATCCTTTGTTAAATTTTAGTGACCCCCAAGAATGAGAGAATATTTATATATTTACATTGTAACAGTCTTGTCTGTCCTTTCTGTCTGGTTTCAATTTATTTTTTATTTTTTGTAACTTCAATAAAAACGTGCATCTTAAATGGGAAACAAACAAACAAAAAACAGCCTGGGCTGTTCTGCTGGGGCAATCTGCTGAGGCCAGAGCATATGATGTGGCACTTTTCACCCTGTGAACCCCAGAGGGCTCTGATGAGGGTTCCACAGTTCCCTGCTGAGAAGAGAAAATCCATGGTAGGCGATGCATAATTGGGCATAATTGATCTTCATGGTGTGTAAGCTCCATGAAGGCAGGGGTTGTTGTATGTCTTATTCATACTCCACTCCTAGTGTCTACAAGAGTGCCCAGCACATAGTGGACCTTCAATAAATATCTGTTGAATGAGTAAATGGTGCTGCCCAATTTACAAATTACAATGAAAACCAGTGCCATGAATACGCATTTCCCCTTCCTGTGGGTACTTAGGGATTGAGCCCTTAATGCAAACAGCAGTTCTTTCTGGTCATCAGCAAAGGGGATGATTCCCTTACACCCTGGGGGAGAGAAATGGGGATTACTGTCCTGAGGAGAAGGAATATTTAGAGGTCACTGAGCTCTTGTGGGCTGGAGACAGTTTGGGAGCCTGAGTTCAGCCTCCTTTGAGCTGTAATCAACCCCTGTCTGCTGCAGCTGCTCTCCACCAGCTCCCCAGGCTCAGGGGTTACAGCAGAAGAGGAGTTGCCTTTATGACTGTGAGGTTTCCATGCAGATGCCACTTCCTGGGGGAATCCACGGGATATGCAGCCAGGGAGTGGCACTGAGAGCTGGTCTGGACACCCAGCCTGGCCTGGTGTGGCTGCTCGTCACCCTGCCCTGGTGTTTGCATCTCCCATGGTTTTGAACCCATAACCAAGAGCCCTCTCCTCTGTGTCCCTCATCTCAGTCACCACCCCAACCTGGAGCAATCTTGGATTCCTCCAGTTAGTCTTTTCTCATTGTGCTTTTTCTCCCCTCATTCTTTTAAAGATTGGTTCGGGAGAGTGGGCCTCAGGAGAAGATTCCTAAGTCTCTGGGTATGTATTCTCCATGTGCATCACTCCATTTGGTACTTGACTCTCTACATTCCTGGGCAGAGACCTAAGCAACCTTGTGTCCAGCCTCCCATCTTATGGACAGGAAAGCCAAAGTCATTTGGGGCCTCACTCTGTAGTGCAGGCCTGGATGCACTTCCCCTGGAGGGGAAGAGAAGCAGCGTTTATGCAGCTGGACGCTGTGCTGGGCGTGCTGACATAGATCAGTTCATGCAGCCCCGATAGAGTTAGGGCATCCCTGTTTTACAGACAAGTGACACACTGGGGTTTAGCGAGCTGGACAGCTGCCCCAGCTCACGGCGCTTAGTGTGGTCCCACCAGGATTGTACCCATGGGACATGGTGAGCCAATACATGTAATGTGCCTAGCACATAGTAGGGACTCTCATGGCATTATCTGAAGCTGAGAACTTTTCTGAATCTTGTGACATTCTTATAGTTCTTGCCATGGTCACCTGGCACCAGACACTGAACTCTGCACCCTGCCTCTTACTTCTGGGCAGATAGAGCCTCTGTCAGCTCCTCCTCATTGGCTTTCTAGGCTGGGCTGCTGTGAGTGAGCTCTGGCCCCCTGAATGCCCCAGGGCCAGCTCTACCCATGTTGTTCTGCTGCCTCTCGCCCACTTATAAGCCAGCAGAAAACTATTTTTCACTGGACTGAGTGAGAAATAAACTGCATCACAAAAAAACCCCTTAGTTAGGCTAGTCTGGAGGTTTAAAAGTTTAAATGTCAGGAGATTAGGGCCAACCTGGAATGGAAGTGAGGTGAGAGGGCGGGTGGAGACCAAGGCTTAGAGAGGCTCTTTGAAGAGGCAAGAGGAGTTCTTTGAGACAATGATCTAACTCTGTGGAGAGGTGGGAGGGGTGGCTGGGGAGCAGGTGTGGGTGAGGGGATCTGGGTGGGTTGTGGGGACTGGAGGCATTTGCTGTGTTGGTAACACAAGGGGGTGGAGTCACCTGGACCAGCTTCCTTGAAGGCCAGTCTGCTAATCAGCTCAGCAGGTGGGTCAGTTGGCAAGAGAAGGAGGCTCTTGTCTAAGAGGTCTCCAGGATCAGGGTACAAAGTTGGGCCTGTGGGAAAGGCCTGGTCTAGAAACCTCTGTGGTAGCTTCCCCTTCTCCACTCCCTGGGTCAGGCTGTGGCAGGGGAGCTCCAGCACCCCAAGTACCTGAGGTGGCCTGGAGAATGCTGGTGCAAAGTTTGGGCAGGGAAACCTGTTAGTAACCACCCCTTCCTCTGCCTCACCAGACTTGAGAACAGGTTCCCCAGGGCCTGGCGGACAGACTGCTCAGACAGGGCTTTTTAGGGTATCTCTTGGAGGTGTAGATGAGGAGGAGGCATACAAAATACCAAAGTTCTTAAAGGGCTCTCTGATCCTTCAGCTGTCACCTGTGGATAACACTGCCCACCCCATGGGAAGTGGTGAGCCAATGCATGTGACATGCCTAGCACATAGAAGGGACTTACATCTAAAGCTGGAGACTTCCCTGAACCTTGTGGCATTCTTGCAGTCCTTGCCCTGGTCACCTAGCACCAGGCATTGAGCCCTCTACCCTGCCTTTTACTTCTGAGTAGATGGAGACTCTGCCAGTTTCTCTTCACCTTGGGCCCTTGGTCTTTCTTTTGAGTCTAGCACTTCCTGTACCAAGAAGCCCTCTGGACTCTACAGAGGACCAGGGTGACTTGGCAGTGCTGCAGAGGCCCCAGATTCAAGGTACCCCAGAAGGTGGCTCCCTTCCCAGAAGACTTCTGATTTGCAGGTTTACCCAAGGATAAACTTTTTGATAAGGAAATTAATGACCCTACCACGGCCTTCAGAATAAGACATACTTTTGATGTCTATTGATAGGAAAAATGTAGACTGACAGAGATACAGTGGACTTCATATCATTTGGAAATGAATTTGTATTTTATCATTCATAAGATCATCTGATGGTCAATGGACCTCAGCTTTCCCATCTGTGAAGTGAGAGGGTTGGTTTAACATTAGTTAGTTCTTGGACCCTTCTGGCTCTAGCCTTGTACTTTGTGTCATATATTCAGACAGACTCATGTGGTACAAAATGCTCCATTAAAACTCATTGCTGTTGAGTGGATTCCAATTCATAGCATAGCAAACCTATAAGGTAGAGTAGAACTGCCTCATAGGGTGTCCTAGGCTGCAATCTTTACAGAAGCAGACTGCCACATCTTTCTCTTATGGAGCAGTTGATTAATTTGAACAACAAACCTTTTGGTTAACAGCCGAGCACTTGCTCAGTGTGCCCATTTTATTTCTTCTCTTCCTGAGGTATATACCTCCCAGGGAAGATAAAAACATTCTCAGGAAGATCTGACTCTGTTTCCTGCTCTGCCTCCCCTCCCCTCCCCTGTCTTAGAATAACAAAAACCCAACTCACTGTCCTCAAGTTGAATTTGACTAATAGTGACCCCTCCTTGGGTTTCTGAAGCAGTACCTCTATGGAAGTACATTGCCCAGTCTTCCTTCCGAGGAGTGGCTGGCTGGTGGGTTTGAACCACCAGCTTTCTGGTTAGCAGTCAAGTGCCTTAAGCACTACACCACCAGAGTGTGGAGTAGTTGTTGAATGAATGAATGAATGGAAGGATGTTACTCCTCAAGCAGAAAGTTCCATGCCTGCCGATGCTCTATAGATGAAATTTAACTTGTGTCTTTCCCCATCAAGGGAGTGTTTTGCAAAAAAATTGAGTGTAGAGGGCTTAGGCAGTAACTTTGCACGACTGTAGGGTTATAGAGCCCCAGGGGTAGACCAGAGGGCTAGCTGTTGCTCCAGGGTGCTGGGTGTGTCCTCAGCTTCATTCTTGTTCTTGACTCCTCAGAGCCGAGACTTTCAGCCCCAGTGGTCAGAGACAGGGCTGCTGCTGGTGAGAAGACTGCTCTGCATTCATCTCAATCTGTTCCTACACTCACAGGCGTCTCCTTCAGCCACGCCAAAGAACCCCACCCTTTACTAAAAGAAAAGGACCAAAAGGAGAACAGCACCAAGGTAACTGTGAAGCAAAGAGAGGAGGAGGTGGGGTGAAAATGGACCACTGGTTGAATGCCAGCATGTTTCTTAAATATTCAAGTGTGGAACTAGCTTATGGAAAATGGAGAATTACAAGGAAAAGCCCCAAGACAACTACCCTTAGTAGTTAAAGCTTAACCTTAGAATATGTGTCCTGATTTGGGGTGAAGGTTTGAGAAAGGAAGGAAAATAAGAAAATAGGAGAAGGCTGGAAATGAGGGGCTAGATGAAGGGTAGAGTACAGAGGGGAGCTGAGGAGGAGGAAGGTGAGAAGAACATGAGGACATGAGGACATGAGGAGGTGACACACAGTTTGGGAGGAAGCAGGATGTGGGGGAGAGTACAGAGGGATTTAGGTGAACCAAGCTGAGTAGTTTGAGCCAACACCCAAGATAGCAACCAGGAGGCAGCTGACTCAGAGGCTGATCAGCCAAAGGCTGTGCTTGACAGGCTGACAAATACTTTGCACTTCCAAGGTGACCTTGGGGAGGTGGTTTCTCCTTTCTGGTCTGGGAGAATTTAGCAAAACTGTTTTAGGGGACCTGTGCACAAACATACCTGAAAACTCCCTATGTGCATGTATTGTGTTAGAGACTGGATTTCAGCGATGATTATGACAAGGTCCAATCACCACAGTCCTTCCACTCTAGTGAGGGTGACAGAACATAAAACAAAATATGATAATTCAGTGCAATGAAATGACTTCATCTTCCACCCCACCTTCCACTCACTCCCAGAGTTGCACCATAGACCTTGGTGTTGCAAACAGCTTCATCCTCGCCATTATTTCAATTTCTAGCATCTCATTTTCTTACCACCATCTTTTGTTGTTCTAGCTCACTCTAATACCCCAACTCTAAAATCTGCTCTTTCTCTTGCATCAGTAATACTCTCCTCTTGACTGGATCATTGCCATTAACATATCAGGTCTCTGTTATCTCTTTCATCGTAAGAAAACATAACACAACCAAACCAAAACAATTGCCTACATCTCTCTTCGCTTTCTCTCCTGAGCCCACTCTTACTGCCCATGTTGAGGTTACCAGTGACCTCCACCTTTCCAAACACAGCCACTCTAACCCATCAGCTGCTTTTGACACAAACTGTCATTCATTTTTCTTGAATATCTCCATCTAGGGATAGGGTTCTCTGCCTAAACAAAGACCAGCTCAGCCCTCCTTTACTGGCCCCTCCTTATCTTCCTAAACTCTAGATGTTGGAGTCCCTCAGGGATCATTCCTCAGGCCTCTATACTTACCCTCTAGGTGAGCAGATCCAGCCTATGACTTTAAGTACCATCTATATACTAAGACAAAACAAAACCAACAGCTATCAAATCAATTCTGACTTATAACGACCTTATAGGACAGAGTAGAATTGCCCTCATAGGGGTTCCAAAGCTGTAAATCTTTATGGAAACAGACTGGCTCATCTTTCTCCCACAGAGTAGCTAGTGGGTTCAAACCACTGACCTTTTGGTTAGCAGTCAAATACTTTAACCACCGCACCAATAGAGCTCTCCAAAAACCAAACCAAACTCACTGCCATCAAGTTGATTACAACTCCCAGCAACCCCCATTGGGTTTCCAAAGGCTGTAAATCTTTACAGAATTAGATTGTCTGGTCTTCCTTCCACAGAGTGTACTCCCAAATTTCCCTCTCCAAGACAGATCTTCTGACCTCCAGATACATATATTTAACTGCTACACAATATCCTCACTTAGGTATATGATATTCAAACTTACCATGTCCAAAACTCAACTCTTGAATCCTCACCCCCTGAAACCTCATCCTTCTCCAGTGTCTCTCCCTCAGTAAATGGCAGTAAAAGGCAACTCCAGGCTTCCTGTTGCCCAGGTTTAAAATATTGGGCCCATCCTTGGTTCCTCTCTTTCTCTCTCACCCCTCACCTCATACATAAGCAAAAGCAGTAAGTTCTACTTTTGTAAATGTGTCCAGAATGTGACCATTCTCTCCATCCCCATCACCATGATCCTGGCTTGAATTGTGTTAGCCTCCTAAGTGCTCTTCCTGCTTCCACCTAGTATCTGCTCCAAGCTCTTCCCAATTTACCAGCCAGTGTGATCCTTTTACAAGTGGAAGTCAGAATGCTCTGTGGTTATGCAAGACGTTATCATTTGGGGGAGCTGGGGAGGGCGCAGGGAACTCTTGATTCTATTTTTTCAATTTCTTGTGAGTCAAACTATTTCCAAATAAATTTGTTGTTGTTTTTCTTAGGTGCCATCACATCAGCTCTGACTGATAATGACCCTGTGTACAACAGAATTAAACACTACTTAGTCCTGTACCATCCTCAGAATCATTGCAATGTTTGAGCCTACCGTTGTAGCCACTGTGTCAATCCATCTTGTTGAAGGTCTTCCTCTTTTTTGCTGACTCTCTGCTTTGCCAAGTACAATGTCCTTCTCCATGGACTGTTCCCTCCAAATAAACAGTTATGAGTTATTTACATTTATTAGTTGTTCCAAATAAATAGTTATTAAGAAATAAGAAACAAATAACTCAGAGAACGTCCACCCTCCTCTCAAAATGGAATTAAGATCATGTCATTCCTTTGCCTAAAACCTCCAATGGCTTCCCATCTCCCTCAGAGAAAAAACCCAAGTGGTTACCATGGACTGTTAAGGCCCAGTGTGATATAGATCTTGCACCCTTCCAACCCCACTTGCCCATCTTGTGTCCTGCCCCTCCTCTGATTCACAGTGTTCTAGCCTGTGTCCTCTTCACTGTCCCCAGCCATACCGAGCCCATTCCAGGCTCAAGGCCTTTGCAGCTGTGGCTTCTTCTGCTTAGGACAAGTCTGCCCTGCATATCTGTATGGCTTGAGCTTTCACTTCATGTATGTCTCTACTTAAATCTCACTTCCTCAGGGAGTCCCTTTTGGCTTTCCTATCTAAAACAGAAGCCCCTGTCACCCTCTGTCTCCTTACTTTTCTTTTGGCACTTTTTGCTTGACATTGTAGACTGATCTGTTTATTGTCTTGCTCTTTGGGAGAGAGAATTCTGTCTTTTTCATTCACTCCCAGAACAATTATAGGAGACACATAGGAGGCATTCACATTTTTGTTGATTGAATTTGCTGATTGAATGAATGAAAGTACAGAGAAGAAATGCATGACTGCCTGTGTATGGGGACCAGGCTGGTTTTTGGGAGAAGGTAACATCTGAAGAGTGTTCTGAAGGATAAGCCATGGTTGGGTGGAACTTCTTAGAGGTGGCTTCAAGGCCATTATCATGGGCCTCAGACAGAATGTTGTTGTTGTTATGTGCCATCGAGTCGGCCCCGACTCATAGCGACCCCTCCTTGGGTTTCCGAGGCAGTATCACTACGGAAGTAGGATTGCCCAACCTTCCTTCCGAGGAGTGGCTGGTGGGTTTGAACCACCAGCCTTCTGGTTAGCAATCAAGTGCTTTAGCCACTATGCTACCAGAGCAAAGAAGGGCCCTTGGGCAGTCAGTGTGGAGAATAGAGCCAGAACAGTGTGTTTTGGGATGTCCTGGCTTGTTCTTGTCAATTTTCCTTAAATGGTTTTGAGTACTCTGGGCCCTGGGAGCTGAGTTGGGTCTCTAAGGGTAATGGAGTTTGCTTTGAATTTGTGCCAGATCCAAGTCACCATCTCTAAGTCTGCTCAGGAGAAGATGCGGCTGAAGCAGATGAAGGAAATGGAGTTGTTTCGGAGGGCAAAGGAGCCAGAGCGGGAGAGGGAGCTCACTGCCCAGAGCCTGGGCTCCCGGAGAACCTTGATGAAGGAAGGTACTGGGTGCCTGGGGTGGGACTCCTGCAGGCTGGGTCTGGGGTACTCAGCCCTCCAAAAGAGAGGCTATACTACCTTTCCCATCCTGAGATGTACAAGAAACCATCCCTGCCTTCTCATAGTCCTCAGATGGGCCTATCTCCAGTGGAGGACATGAGGGTAGAGGCAGGCGGGACCAGCTCAGCCATAGAATTTTGACTGTCTCCACAGGCCTTCTTCCCCTCCGGGGCAGCGGGACCCAGTCTGTGCCCACTGGACTGAACAGCCCATGTAGAAACAACATTGGCATCATCCCCAGGAAGCGGGCCAACAGGTTCTCACTCCCCAGCATCCCTGTCAGCAAGCAGGAGCCCAGCTTTGCTCGCCATGCTTCAGGTGGGGCCCAGACCTGACTGGCTGGGGCAGAGGTCCCCTCCTTGTGCTGTGCCTTGGATTGTTTAAGGGATGGCAAAAAGACCTTGGCTGCTCCACTTCTGCCTGTTGCCCACATTAGACTAGGGGACGGCCCAGAGTGGTGGTCACCTTACGGGAGAGAAACAGTGCCGGGGACTCAAAAGCATCTATGGGTTGGGCTGGGGATCCAGGACATCACCGCTGTGATGGATGGCTAGGAAGGTGCGCCCAGCCTGTGTGACGTGTCCTAGAGGAGTCTCAAGTGCACCAGGAACAAAAGATGCTGGAAAACAGCATCAGAGGAAGTAGCTGGAAACTCCAGGATGAGAGGATTTTGGAGGAGATGTTGGTTTCCTGACTGCTGCCTCATAAATATTGGGCCTTGACAGTGCTGACTGATTATAAGTGGGGAACAGAGGAGCCCAAAGTTCTACTGGGGAAGGGCCAGAGGGCAAAGTCTTCCCCATTTTACCAGAGGAACTTCTGTTTTACCAAAACTTTTTGTATACTGGGCATTCATGTGAGATTCTATCTGAAAAGATTTTGCTACTAACAAAAACACTTGAAAACAATCAACCTGGTTGAGAGTATCTTTAAATGTGGGATGTGGACAATGATGGCGTACTACAGCATCGTTTTGGTGGTATCATAGATAATTTTGACCCATCTCTCTGTTCAGTTCTCTTTACATCTTTTTGATTCCATCAAGTAGAAATTCTTAACTTAGTCTTTAGCACCCCTCTACAACTTGTGAATCTTACTTTTTTCATAAAGAGAGCCTCCTTCAGGCTCAGAGACATTAGAAGCTATGATTTTATACCTAGGGTTTATAACATTCTTCTTTTTTAATGCATTTTATTGAAATATAATTTATGTACAGTGAAATACACAAAACTAAAGTGACATGGGTCAATGCTTTTTTTTTTTTTTTTTTGCAATGTTCCCTTCCCTCCCCTCCCACCTCTGGCAACCAACAAAGAAAGTTTCCCTCCATATATAAACATTTCCTTGACCCTCCACAACAATATAACATTATTTTATTAATCATAAATATTTATCATATTTTATTTATAGCAAATATTATAGGTTTGCCAATTATGGTAGTGACATAAATTTCTCTTTAAAAATAAATTTATTTAGGATCTGAAAAATGGGTTAATTGGAGGAAAAGTACAATGTGAATAAAAGTACAGGTATTCAGAGATATGATAAAAAAAAAAGTTGTGCAGATGATAATTGAATGCTCACTACTTGGGAAATACTGCTTTAGCTTAGCCAATTCACCCATTTTGTAGATAGCAAAACTAGCTACAGAGACCTAAGGTCACTCAAGATGATCATGGCCAACAGAGTCTAAAAGCTTGACTGGTGACTCTCAATATGCAGGTAGTGCCAGACTTACGATGGGGCTCTGTTCCAGTGACTCTGTCTTAAGTTGGTTCTGACGTAATTAAAATACTTTTTTTTTTCATTATTATTGTCTTTTATTATCAGTATCTATATAAATCCAGCAGTTTTTTGAATAATCATAAAATTGAACATCTGCGAGTGAATATCTGAGAATAACATCAGCAAATTATGTGCTCCAACATATTACTAATGATAAGCTGTACAAACCGCCCCCCCCCCGAAATGATGGGCATAAGTGCAATTCATTGTAATTCGAGTAAGTCATAAGTCAGGGACTACTTGTAGTATAGAGTATTGGTGCCCCTCATATTTAATCTGGAGCTCTGGTAGCACAGTGGCTAAGACAGTTGCCTGCTAACCAGACGGCTGGCAGTTCAAACCCACCAGCCACTCCTCGGAAGGAAGGTTGGGCAATCCTACTTCTGTAGTGATACTGCCTTGGAAACCCAAGGAGGGGTCGCTATGAGTCAGGTATGACTCGACGGCACATAACAACAACAACAACAACAACAAGCCCTTACAGTTAAATGGAAGGTTGGCTATTTGAATTCACCAAGAGGTACTTTGGAAGAAAGGCCTGGTGATCTATTTCTGAGAAATAAGCCATTGAAAATGATATGATGGAACACAGTTCTACTCTGACACACATAGGGTGTCATGAGTCAGAATCAACTCAAGGGCAACTGGCTTTTTATGTATGTATATGGGTGGATATGTGCATTTGAAAGAAATAAGATCTTTAGGGAGATTGAGTTGTAGTAGATAAAAAACAAATCAAACAACATTCTCCTTTCACAGCCTCACCTGTAGCTAAATTTGAAGCTTCTTCTCTTCCTCTCTCCTGACTTTGAACAGAGTCATTAAGTTGCTTGCTAATTTGTACCCGCTTCTACTTTTGGGTCTGGCTGGAAAGGACAGAATTTCAGGATTGTTAACTTGGTTGTTCTGATTTTCTTCATAAATCCTGTGAGATTCTCACCTCTCATGGGAGAAGGGGTTGCTTTAGGTGAGCTCTGCTGGGTCTGCTCAAGCCCTTCTGTTTTTTGTGTGCAAAGAACATTTTCCCTATTAAGGATTACTTCCTTAGGATATACTAGTCCCAGAATGGAAATTACTGGGCCAAAAGGTATTAAAAGTGAGCATTATTGAACAGCTGTCTGGGGTAGAAATGGGCAAAGATAAACACAAACTTACCCTCAAGAGACTAGATTTCCCTCAGCCTGGTGACTTCTGTGTGTTTTCTTTAAACCTAGGTGAATAATGAATGCCATTGGAAGGCATCTTAGTTACCCAGGGCTGCTATAACAGAAATACCCCAAGTGGGTGGCTTTAAAGGATAGTTCAGGGAGCTAGAAGTCTGAATTCAGGGCATGGCTCTAGGGACATGTTCTGCTTTGTCTATGTCAGCTTCTAGTAGCTGTGGCAATCCTTGGTGTTCTGGGCTTGCAGATGCATTTGCCATGTGTATTGGTCTCCATATGGCATTTTTTTTTCCCCTATGTAACCCTCTGTGTCTATACTGTTCATTTTTACAGAAGCAATTAGGTTTAGGACCCACCCTACTCTGGTATGAGCTCATTAACATAATAAAAATCCTATTTCCAAACAGGGTTATGTCTACAGGTTCAGGGCCAGAAGTTCAATACATATCTTTGGCGGGGGGTGGGTGTAGGAGATCCTGGATAGAGTGAGAGAACAGTGTGGAACAAAACTCAAAATCATTAAAAAAAAAGGGGGGTGGGGGGGGGGGAGCACAATTCAGTGCACATAGAGGAGAGGATGATGTTGAAGCAGGGCTGGGTGGTAGCAGGCTGGTTGCTCTCTCCCTAATACCAATACCTTCTTCAAGGGCTTCACAGACAACATCAAATTCATGTCTGTGTTATCCAGGAAAGGACAGGGAGGCAGAATGTCACCTCCTATAACTAGAGGGTGAACTGAAGGGCTGATAAGAGACTTTCACATAGCAGTGGCAGACCAAAGAAGAGAATCCAGGAATATGGCCTTTGTTCTTGGCTTTAAAGAAAGGATAGCCTCTCAACTTAAATTGTCCAGGGCATCTTGGTGAGACTCTGAAGGATCTTGGATATACCTTAGTGAAAACCATCCCAGTGGAAGTGAGACTCTGAAGGGAACTTGTCAGAAAGTGAGATGTTATAGTCAGAGCTCTGGGCTCAGAGAAGGTCACCTTCTTGTCCTGGCTCTGCTGATAGAGTAGGTGAGGAACCGTGGGAGGGTCTTCCAGCCTTTCTGGGTTTCTGATACCTCAGCTGTGTCATTAGGGCATTGAACTAATGGATGGCTTCTAAACTCCCTTCTTTTTCTTATTCTGGGATTTTATAATTCTAGTGTCTGCCTCCAAGGAAGGAGAGCCTAGTGAACATGATCTGGGTTTTTAATAACATCTCTGCTTACTTTAGACCATCTTGACCACGTGGGTGCTGGTTTGCTACTCCATGTCTTGGTGGGACATTTTGTAGTCTCTCTGACTTCCTCCAGCTACTTCCTTGCTCAAGGCCAACTTCACAAAAGGATGGATGTTGTTGTTGTTAGGTGCTCTTGAGTCGTTCTCACCCATAGTGACCCTACGTGCCACAGAACGGACACTGCCCTGTCCTGCGCTATCCTCAGAATCATTGTTGCTATGTTTGAGCCCATTGTTGCAGCCACTGTGTCAGCCTGTCTCTTCTTTTTGCTGAGCTTCTACTTAACTTAGCATGATGTCTCTCTCCAGGAACTGGTCCCTTCAGTGAGGGGAACAGATGAGAAGCTGACAACACAGGCTCCAGGGTGGGAATGGGGTTGGAATGTCACCAGACTGAGCAGACTCTGGTGTCCTTCACTAACAGACTTCACCCTAACCACAGATATGGCAGGGTCAGAAGTGGGTGACGACTCAGTGGGCATAGCCACATGCCATCAAGCAGCATGTCACAAACCAGTCTTTCTGCTTATAATGAATAACAGATTGGCAATGGTGGGAATGGAAAAATCAGCAAAAGTAGAGGCTTGGTGGTCTCCTTGGCTCCTCAGGGAGTGGCTTCGAAGCTCTCCCCAGTCCCCTTCCCTCTGCATGCTCTCCTTGTTAGAGAGCTCAAGTGCTACAGGCCCGCCCTGAGTACTAAGGCTGTGGAGACAGACAGAAGCAGCTCCAGGCTCTTGCTGGTCCTCCTGGCCACAACCTACCATGTTTCTTTTCTTTTTTGTGAGTGCAGCCAACTCGTTGCCAGCGGTGCTCACTTTGGGGTCTCCTGAATGGGAAGAAGAGGAGGAGGAGATGGATCTCAGAGCCTTTAAAGAGTTGAGGCCTTTCTCGAACCCGGAGCTGGGGTTGATGGATGCCCTCCAGTGCCTCAGCAGCAGCGACTGGTGAGCAAGTGCCTTCCCCTGTGCCCTATGCACTGTGGCCAGGGGCCGACTGTGGAACATCTCCTGCCTCCCAGCTGCTCTGTGCTTCCTGCTCCTAGGCTTTGGTTCCTGGGAAGGGATGTGTGTGTGTGCATGTGTGTGGAGGTTGGAATGGGGGGGTTTGTCTCTAGCTTCTTATGTTTGCCCAGAGACCTTCCAGTCTTGTGCACTGCACTGCGGCTCACCTGAGCCAGGTGTGGCAAGTATAAATTTGGCTCCACAGCAGTGGTCCTAAAAAAGGTCACAGCCCTTTATTTCTTTAAGACAGATTTAATTTGCTCTGAGTGTTCCTCCCACCGGGCTGGTAGAACATTATCTTTGTTGTGAGCAAATCACTGTGGGGTCCAGAACTTTTATGGGAAGCCTTCTCTGGCCTTCAGTTCTCACTGATTAAGCAGCCCTTGCTCATGAAAGCAGCCAGCTTTGTGTTAAGCGTGGGCCTCAGTCCCAGTGGTGGACTCAGATCCTAGCACTATCAAAGCTGAGTTACCCTCCCAAAATGGCTTTTATGAACTATAATGACTTCTCTCAGGAGTCCTGGTGGTGTAATGTTAAGTACTCGGCTGCCAACCATGAGATCAGTGGTTCAAACCCACCAGCCACTGTGTGGGAAAAAGACCTGACAATGTGCTTCTGTAAAGATTACAGTTTAGGAAATCCTATGAGGCAGTTGTACTCTGTCATATGGGTTCGCCATGAGTCAAAATCACCTCAACAGCACAAAAACAATGACTTCAGTCAGGGCAGAGTGTTACAGAGGAAACCCCTGCCTTTGATGCTATTTAATCTTACCTGCCATGGGTGAGGGTGAGGTGGTGACGTGGCTGCCCTTGGTCTGCAGAGGGAATGGAGTGACTCCCTCCCCACCTGTGACAGGGCCTGGACTTGTTTCTCAGGCAGATGAAGGAGAAGGGCCTGGTGAGCATCCAGCGTCTGGCGGCCTGCCACTCAGAGGTCCTTGCCGGGAGGCTGCACGATGTGTCCTTGGCCGTGACTGGGGAGGTAAGGCCTCCCAGGCAGCTGTGAACTGTGTGCTCCCTCACCCCATCCCCCATCCCTGCTGCAACTGCCACTCAGCAGCTACAGAAGGGTCCATGGCTCCCCAGAGTACAGGCATATCCTGCTTGTTTCTCATTCCTCTACCACTGAGATGTCAGGTAGCCACCCATTTCTCAGATTGGAAAACTGAGGCCTGGGGTCTTCTTTATAACCTTTGGGTAATGAAGCAGTCAATATCTAGTATGCTCAGCTGTCACAACTCTGTTGCCTGTTGTACTCAAAATGCCTAGGAGGGGTGAAGTGTTCTGGGCCGGATCCCCAGTTTCAGGGCAGTTGTAGTATTTCTCAAGGCCTTTCTCCCTCAGGGCTAGGGCTGGGTGTGGAGGAGCAGTTAGACACATTCTGTCTCAGGTGGAGACCATGCCCCACCCTTGGGAACAGGCTACTGAGTGAGGAGGTTATCAACTCAAAGAACACTGCCTTGGCATGCAAAAGCCTGAGCTGTTCTCAGCTCTGCCCCTTTCTGCCTGTGCCATGAAGTCTCGGTTTCTTCTTCTGCAAAATGGATGTCATATTTCTACTCCCCACAGTAACTCTGAAGATCAAATGGGATATTATTTGTAAAAGCACTTTGCTATTGTAAATAGTGTGCATATATTGTTCTTGTCCTGGCTTTCACTTCCTTAGGATATATACTTAGTAATGGGATTGCTGGGTCAAATGGTATTTCTAATTTCAACTTTTTAAGGAATTGCCATACTGCTTTCCACAGTGGTTGCATCATTTGACAGTCCCATCAACAGTGTATGAGAGTCCCAATCTTACCACAACCTCACCAGCAATTGTTATTTTCTGCCTTATTGAACTTTGCTATTAGTGTGTAAAAAGCACTTTGAAAACCAAGTGTTGTCCAAATTTTAGATAATGAATGATAACATCATCACACACACACACACACATACACATATATATTAATTTATTTTAATGAGGTCATTTTGCCAAGACCTGCAGGGTTTCATATCCAGGTTAGTGAGGCCTAGACCTAGGGTGAGGGTGGAGGTAGCCGGAAGGGGTAGTGAGGCCCCATTTTTAGGTATCTCCTGGAGCCCTTGGCAGGGCCCAGCAGTTCTGGAGGTCCCTTCTCCCCTCTTTCTCCAAGGTCACCAACCTCCGCTCCAAGGTGTCCCGCCTGGCCATCAGCACTCTGGAAGACCTCTTCCGGGCCTTGAAGAAGAACATGGACCAGGAAGCTGAGGAGATCGCCCGCTGCTTGCTCCAGAAGATGGGCAACACCAGTGAATTCATCCAGAGAGCAGCCAACCGGTCACTGGGGGCCATGGTGGAGCACGTGACCCCTGCCCGATCCCTGGTGGCCCTCACTGCAGCTGGTGTCTAGTACGTGCTGCTCTTGTTTGAGGGCAGGTGGGTGGTCAGGGAAGATGAGTCAGGCAGAGGTCCTGGGATGGAGAGGAGGAGGGAGATGGGTGAAGGTAGGAGAAGAGGAGAAGGCTGGGAAGAGGAGAGGAGAAGGCAGGGAAGGAAGGAAGAGGGAGGAAGGGAGGAAAGTGAGGGTATTAAGGGTTGGTTAGGAAGGAAGAGGCAAAGGTGGTGGATCAGAATGAAGAAGGGGTCTCCCCACAGGCTTCACAGCAAGTGCCTCACACCTACACTTGAGACCCTTGCTTCCTGGGGGACTTCTCTTCCCACCTTTCCCGGGGCCATGAGGAAAGGAGAGGAATGTGGTGTGTGGAGCACAGGCCTGAGCACTGTTGGGAAAAGGAGAGGTGCTGTGTTGCTCTGCTGCAAGGTTAGGGAGCACACAGTGGGTGGTAACTCCCCCCACCCCAGCCCTGGTCTGCTGAGGTAGCCTGGCCTCCAGTGGTGCTTAGGGAGCACCTGCCCCTCTTCCAGAGGACACTTGTTTGTTTCTTTCTGATGAAATCTGGGCCAGTCAGGAGAGCAAGGCACCATTCTAACACTTCATCTGGCAGCTGGCACCACTTTCCCTCCTGGGGTTGCAGAAGGTTCCTTGGTTACTATTGGGACCTTTTTGCTGCCAGATTGGCTTTCCTGTTAAGTAAAAACCAAAACCAAAAGCATTTCCTAAATCCTTTCTCCCACAGGGCAAAACAAATCTCAATCCCAATAATCCAATCAGCATATTTACATATGAGGCTTCTCTGATATAGCCCAGGGCTTGTTGTATCAGCCAGTTGTTGTTGTGTGCCGTCGAGTCAGCCCCGACTCATAGCGACCCCTCCTTGCTTTAGCCACTATGCTACCAGAGCTCCACAGTGTAAGGGGGCAGGGTGAGGAGCTCTGGAGCCACATTGCTTGGGTTCACAAGCTAGATTGTTACTTAATTTCTCTGTGCCTCAGATTTCTCATGTGGTAGCATAGTGCCTAAGGCATTTGACTGCTAACCAGAAGGCTGGCAGTTCAAATCCACCAGCCACTCCTCAGAAGGAAGGTTAGGCAATCTACTTCCGTAGTGATATCCCCTCGGAAACCCAAGGAGGGGTCACTATGAGTCGGGGCCGACTGGACGGCACATAACAACAACACCACATAAAATGGGGATAATAATGGTGTTGTAAGGAATAAATTAATTGATTCACAAGAAAGCACTAAGCAATCCCTACCATTTTCTGATTGCTTACTATGATTATTGGGATTGACTAGATGGCAGTGGGTTTGGTGTAGTTTACTGTGTTGTTTGTTGTTGTTATGTGCTGTCCAGTCGACTTATAGTGACCCCTCCTTGGGTTTCCGAGGCAGTATCACTAGGGAAGTAGATTGCCCCATCTTCCTTCCGAGGAGTGGCTGGTGGATTTGAACTGACAGCCTTCTGGTTAGCAGTCAAGTGCCTTAGGCACTATGCTACCAGAGCATAGTTTACTGTGGTTATTATTAACTCAGGGAAATTAACAGCACCCTTTCCTGGATACCTTCTTCTGCCTCAGCTTCCTCATTCACAAGATAATGTGGTCAATATGAGATAATGGGTAAAGGTTGCTGAGCTCAGTGACTGGCACAGAGGGAGTGCTTACTATAAACAGAGGCTCCTGATCATTGTCACCAAGAAACAGCCAGGTGTTAGGGGATCCTAGAACAAGGCTTTGCTTGTTAAAATGCAGTTCCTGATTGAGATGTTAATGCTGCTGGTGCCTGGACTACACTCTGAGGAGGGAGAGCCTAGGACATGCCCTTTTCCAGTTCTTTGTGTTCCACTAGGTTGTACCCAAGAGGAGAAAGATTTGTTCCTGAGGTCAATGTTGCTAATGGCCTCTGAACATGTAGGCACTGCTTGAAAATGATGAAAAATTAAGAGGTGACATCCTGATGGATTTCTCTAGTAAGATGTCAGGTTCTACTTGTTAGGGTTACCAATGCACCCACTAATTCCCTCTCCTTCCCACTTATCTCAGTTTATTTCAATAAACACATACTATGCTTCTGCTAAGTGTTAAGCAGGAGCAGTGATAGTTCAGTGGTAGAATTCTTGCCTTCCTCGTGGGAGACCTGGGTTCAATTCTCAGCCAGTATATCTCACACGTCTGTCAGTGGAGGCGTGTATGTTGTTATGATACTGAACAGGTTTCAGCAGAGCATCCAGACTAAGACAGACTAGGAAGAAAGGCCTGGTGATCTACTTCTGAAAATCAGCCAATGAAAGCCCTATGGATCACAATAGTCAGATGTTGTGCATGGGGTTGTCATGTGTCAGGTGCAATAACAATCATCAGGAATGTGTCAAGCACCAGCTGGGCACTGGTTGTTCGTCAGAGAGGAGGCCTGGTCTTTGGTCCCAGGGATCTTACACTCTACTTTGGATGTAAATTTTGAGTGACACAGTCCATCATTTATTTTCATGGATTTTATATTGTATGCAGGATCCTGGCTGGACACTTTATCTTTCTGTACTTCCATATTGGAGCCAACTTGACAGGGGACCACTGAGTTCAAGTGAACTTTGCAGTGGACACAGCCATTGCTGCCCCAGAGGGAACATCTAATTCTGCTGGGGAAGGAAGGGAAAGAGATGTTGACTGCACAAGATTTTTCTAGGTGGAGGAAAGATGGGAAGGCACATTTAGACACGGGAGCATATGAGCTCCAGAAGGCACCGAGAACAAACAGTAAGCATGTGGCTTACTGAGGTTGTTCTTCCCTCTTCTGAAGCTGCCGTTCTCATCCTTAGTCCTATTATTAGGAGGTGATTGTCCTTTCCTCAAAAATTCCTCTAGCCCACATGGCACAGATTTCGGGGCCTGTTGCTTGGCATGAGGCATGGATCAACAATTGAATCTGTGTGCCAGTCTAGTGCCTCCTTGACTGTGATGTGTTTCCCTTCAGCCACCGAAACCCTTTAGTCCGCAAATGTACAGCTGAGCACCTCTCCACCGTCCTAGAACAGATCGGCGCCGAGAAGCTTCTCTCAGGCACCAGGGACAGCACAGACATGCTGGTGCACAACCTGGTGCGGCTGGCCCAGGACTCCAACCAGGACACCAGGTAACGGCAGAGCTAGGGGCCTCTAAATTCAGGTCCTACCTGAGTTAAAGAGCTCTGGTGTCATAGTGCGTAAGGCAGTTGATGGCTAACCAGAAGGCTGGCAGTTCAAACCTACCAGCCAGTTTGCAGAAGGAAGACTGGGCAATCTAATTCTGTAAGGATTTACCACCTCAGAAACCCAAAGGGGGTCATTTTGAGTTGGAATTGACTCGATGGCAGTGAGTTTGATCTTTTCATACTCAAGTTTGTACAATTGTTGTACCCACTGCTGTCAAGTCAGATCCAACTCATAGCGACCCCTCCTTGGGTTTCTGAGGTGGTATCACTACGGAAATAGATTATTCCACCTTCCTTCCAGGGAGTGGCTGGTGGGTTCGAACCCCCAGCCTTCTGGTTAGCAGTCAAATGTCTTAGGCACTACATCACCAGAGCTAAGACACACCTCCCCCCCCCACATTTATTATCTTTGAAATTGGCATGTATCTTATAGATACTGTTGCCCAGGCAGCAATTAGGAGTTGGATTTTACTACCTGGATGTTCTCAAACTGGTTCATTATTGTCCATAGTATAAACTGTTTAAGTTATGTGCTTTGTAGGAACAGCACTAGGAACCTTTCTTTTCTTGTTAGCCTTTTGATTTACCTTAAAAAATCAATTTGGATGCCGAGTGGAGAATTGTTGAGTTTAATTGCCACTTAAAGTATCTTAGAAATATGACACTATTATTCAACATTGAAATGAAAACTTATTGTGTGTGAGAAAAAAGCATGCAAATACAGCAGTGGGTCATAAATTAAATATTAATGAAGCAAACATTTGTTGTTGAAGAAATGACCAAAATGCCACATTTTCTTGCATAGCAACAACTAGGAGCACATAGTGCCTAAGGCACTTGACTGCTCACCAGAAGGCTGGCGGTTCAAACCCACCAGCCATCCTCGGAAGGAAGGTTGGGCAATCCTACTTCCGTAGTGATATTGCCTCGGAAACCCAAGGAGGGGTCGCTATGAGTCAGGGCCGACTCAACGGCAAACAACAACAACAACAGCAACAACTAAATACTTTATGTGACTTAAGAAAGGAAAAATGTCCACAAGTAATGTTACCTTTTGTTTATGAGGTAACATGTCAAAGGATTGGCTTTCACATGTGGGGTAGTATAATTGAAGCCAGTCTTTTATTTTTAGTAATGGAAAATAAAGTAATGATGCTTTATACAACCAATAGAGTCTTAAGTTGGGTGAAATATGATCGTTCTAGACACTTTATGATCTACCTCCAATCTGTTACCAAGCCCTGCTGTTTCAACCTTCTTAAGAGCACTCATCTGCGAATACCACTTCCTATCCCCAATCTACTGTCTTATTTTAGGCTTTCATTATCTCTTGTTTGAATATTATCATGGCCTCCTAACAGGTAGCCTGGGCCCCAGCCTTGTCCCCACCAATCCATCTTCCATACTGCTGCCAGAGATGTTTTTACTAAAATGTGAATCTCATCATTTCTTGGCTTCCCATTGCTTGCAGGCTAAAATTTACCTCCTTCATGTCTCCCTGAAGTGGGTCCTGCCTTCTTTTCCAACTTAGGTCTTCCTGTGTCTAGCCTTTGCTCACTATCATCTAATTACATACCTGCTGATTCACCAGATAGTGTTATGGGTTCTGGAATCATCCTCCTCCTTACACTTACTCCCTAATCCTGTACCACATGTGAACCCCTACTCATTTTTTGAGTTCCAACTCAACAGTCACTTCTTCTCTGAAGCCCTCCTTCATTCCCTCCTGCACACCACTGTTCAGCAGGCAGAGTTGACCACTTCTTCTTATATTGCCCCACTGTGCCCTTCGACTTCTCAATGTCCCATACTAGAAAAAAAAAATTCAGTACAGGTTGGCATAACCAACCAGTAGAATATTATGTAACCATTAACAAGAAGTTTATGAAGTTTTAAATGAAGATGATTATCTTCATAATAATTATGAGATAATTATGAGATGATTAATGATAAAGTGAAAAAAGCAGGATGCAAGTTATATATAAGTTTTGATATCAACAAAACATATATATGTATAGAAAAAAGACTAAAAGAAAATATGTAAAAATTTAATAATGGTTTTGTGTTGGTAGTGGGATCATGGTTGCTGTTTATTCTTTTATGATTTTTTTTTAAAAACTGGGTAGGTATGACTTTCATAATTAGAAAAAGTATTAAAAACTCTGATACTATAATTATGTAAAAATTATGTAAAGGTATAAGACAAATTAAGAAGCTCTGGTGGCACAGTTATTAAAGCATTTGCCTGCTAACCAGAAGGTCAGTGGTTCAAACCCACTGACCTCTCTGCAGGAGAAAGATGAGGCAGCCTGCTTTCATAAAGATTTACTGCCTTAGAAACTGTATGGGGCAGTTCTACTTTGTTCTAAAGAGTCACTATAAGTCAGAATTGACTCTATGGCAGTGGGTTTGGTTTGATAAAGCAAATTTATGATGCATTTCTGTGGCTGTTTCTCCATCTTGCCCTTTCTTCAATGGCAGGTTTTATGGCCGGAAGATGGTGAATATCTTGATGTCCAATACGAAGTTTGATGCATTTCTGAAACAGTCCCTGCCTTCTCATGACTTGCGGAAGGTCATGGCAGCTATTAAACAGCGGGTGAGTGCCATGCAGTGGGAATGGATGAAAATCAAAACTGACTGTGGCAGCCCTTACATTGGCCAAGGGAATGGGGAGTGGATACATGCGATAGACTAAATTTTCAGTTCTTGAGAAGATTTTAATTTCATCCACTACTACTGACCTGTGAGAAAATGGGATTCCTTTCCCTAGTGCTACTAGAACTTTCCCCTGGTTCCTACTTCCTGTGTTCCTTGAGTCTCACTGGGTCTCTGTTCTGGTTACCTAGTGCCACTCTGACAAGAATGTACTATAAATGGGATGCCCTTAATAAACAGGAGTATATTCTCTTAAAGTTTGGAGGCTTTAAGTCCAAGTTCAAAGTGCCAGGCTCTAGGGGCTGGGTGAAAGCCCCTCAACCTTGGGGTCTAGCTCTGCCTCCTGCTCCCGGCCCACTGGAGCTAGAAGCGTTTCTTCACTCAGACAGCTGCTGGCTGCTGAGGCTGAGAAGCCCGAGGTTGACAAGTAAAAAGGCACAGTCCCGATGTTACCAAACCACATGGCAGACCATTAACTTAAGTCCATTGCAAGTTCCAAGGTCGGCAGAGCATGGCAGGCTGCTGAACAATGACACGGCTACATGCAGGGTCTAAGCATGCCATAAGCTAGCTACCATTCCCCAAGGCTTCTGCTTATATACAGGAAGCAGACCACATTCCCTAAGGCAGCTACTCAGCTGCTCACAGTAGAATCCACCATGGAGTTGATTACCAGTCTTATCTCATGGGGAATACTACATCCAGCTGCCCAGTCACTTAACCAGGCCCAGCCAAGTTGACACATCAACTGAACTACTACAGTCTCCATGTCTTCATCTGTTAAACGGGGACTTTGATGCCTGCCCAGACTCCCTCCAGGGTTCTGGAAGGCTCACATGTAGCTTCTGAAGCTCTCCCAGGTGGAAGGGGTTGTTCTTCTTGTTATGGTCTGTCGCCTTAAGTCTGACAGTTCCCCAGAGGGCACTCCTTTTGGCTCATGTTCTGTGTGTGTTTTTCCAGGGAATAGAAGATAATGAAGAAATTCCATCTGCCAAAGGCCGCACGGTGTCAAGGAGTCTGGTGGTGTGTGAGAACAGGCTGGCCAAGGATGGGTATGGCTACTCTCGTTTCATTGGGGCTCCAGGTCTGAGACTGTAATAGAGGTGGCTTTCTTGTCATTGGGCAAGAGTGGCTCTGGGGAGGATGTATGGATCTGAGCTGACTAGTTAAGTCAGCAGCACTGGTAGATGAATTTATAGGTTGTTTTTTCCCACCCCATATCTCCATGATGCTAAAACCTCGCTCAGGAGGCATCTTCCAGAAGACGTTTATTGCTACAGTATTTGCTGAGTGGGTGCAATTCCACTAGTACAGGTGGGATGCATTGTTGGTTGGGCTCTCTGTGTGAGCTCAGCACTCCTCCATTCACTTAGATCAAGAGGTCCTAAAAGCATCAGAGAGTGGTCCAAAAACCAACCCCAACCCACTGCCATCAAGTTGATTCTCACAGGGACTCTATAGGATGTAGCAGAATTGCTCTATAGGCTTTCCAAGACTGCAAATCTTTTTGGAAGCAGACTGCCTCATCTTTCTCTTGTGGAGTGGCTGGTGGGTTCAAACCATGAACCTTTTGGTTAGCAGCTGACTGCCTTAACCACTGCATCGCCATAGCTTCTACAGAGTAGTTAGTCAGGACTAATTTGGAGACAGAGCTGGCAGAAAGGCAGTAAAGAAGGAATGGTTTGGTCTGAAAGGCTGGAAGGTGGGTGCTGGGGAGGAGTTGGAAGCCAGTCAGGAATCTGATGGTCACTCCCATGCTTAAAACCCTTCTGCAATGCCCTGCAGGGCACACAGGGAAGCCCCCTGCCCACCTCTGCAAGAGTGACTTTCCACACTCTCTCCTGCACAGCCTCTCAGCCAGCTCAGAGCAGCTTGTGTTTCCTTCCTTCTGTGTTCTCTTTTCCTGCTTTTGCTTATGGTGTTCCTTTTTCTGGTACCATCTTCACCTGGAACATATCTATTTAGTCTGCAAGACTGAGTTCACTTGTCACCTACCCCAGAAGCTTTCTCTGACACCTGTGCCCCAACATCCTCATGGTGGGCAGAATGTCTCCCATTCTTCCTCTGTCAGCCTCATCTCTCTCTCATTGGTCTTGTGACTTTTCAAGGGCAAAGACCATCTCTCTCATCTCATTGTGCTCAGTGATGAGCAAAGCTCCTGGCCTCAGTAGGCAGAGTGTGGAACATAGGAATGAAAGAGAGAATGAATGATATTGGGCTGTGTGGGTCAGGTGGGGCCCATGTGCAGGGCATGAGTTCAAAGACCTTGGCTTGGATCTGGAGGTGAGGGGATAGGAGTCGTGTATGAAGCAGTTCTCATACTGGCTAGAATGGGCAAGGGGATGTGATGGGCATATGATTCCAACTCAAGAGGACAGGATTCCTAACATCTCCCCAGTGCTAGAGGAGTGTGAGCAGAATCTAGACAACCACAGTTTAAGTTTTGGGCAGAAAGTGGGTGTCCAAGATCTCTCTCCATTCTTTAAACTAAATATGTACTAGTCATTCTTTGTTGGGTTCCCACTCCCTCACTTCAAGCTTTGTTTCTACCATTCTCCATACATCTTATGAGCAGAGAGAACAAAAAAGCAGGAAGAGATAGTTCTGCCCTCTGATAATGGGGTAGGCCTCTGGGCAATCATGTTGTTGGCCTTGAGGAAAAGAGATTTCCAGAGTTCCCAAGGCCAATGTTTCCCAAGTAGCAGGTGGGGGAGAAATTGAGGGTGGACTAAGCTGAAGGTGACACTCTTGTCTCTGCCTCATGTGTCCATGGGAAGAGTCATGGAACAAGAGGTATGTCCATCCCTTGGGGCTGCTGGGATCAGATGCTCTTTCTCCACAGACTTGGTTCAAATGGTCCACGCCTAGTGGGGCTACGCTCCTCCATGAGGGGTGGCTTGGAGATGGTGGAGCAGCTACGGGAGCTGATGCGTTTGCTGGAGGCCAAGGAATACCAGTCTCGGATGGAAGGGGTAGGGCAGCTCCTTGAGTACTGCAAGACCAAACCAGAGCTCATCACTACCAACCTAATCCAGGTGAGCACAGCTCCATCCCCTGCCCTCAGACCTCTATCCCCTTCCCTCCCACCTCTGTCTCTCCTGTGGTTGCAAATTGAATTTGGAAAACTCTGAACAAGATTGGACACTGCTTGTATATAGGGTGCCTGATAAACAATTGCTGTTCAGTGGGCATTTGTAATGGCATAAGACTACCTGAGCATGACCAAAGGGGTGAGGGTCCTGCCAGGCACCTTGGAACTTCCCAGAGATGAGCTTGGTATCTGTCATCCTTCTAGAAGATTTATGGTGAGGAGAGCAGAAGGTAAAGGTACAGGAGGTAAAGCTGTGGCTGAGGTCTTGGGTCTGCTTCTGGGTTATTTAAGTGCATGATGTTTTGGGGACAGAGCATGTGGTCAGGCAGGTGACTGGGTCATGAGAAGGTTAGGAGTAGGCACAGGCCTCTCATAGGGCAGATGCTTGCTTCTTCCTGGAATAAGGCTGCCGATAGTCAAGCCACATAGCAGAGTAGTTAGGACACAGGCTCAGAGTCAACAGACTTAGGTTTCAAGCTTCTTATTTTGTGATCTAGACAAGCCATTTAACCTTGTTGAGCCCTCAGTTTGTATGGATGTAGGTTTGTATTTGTAAAGTGAGTATGATAATACATGTTTATTGGTTGTTAAGATCATTCAATGAAAGAAAGAGTACAGAGTACCTAACAAGATGCTTTGCCCACAGTGGATGCTCAGTACATGCTAGTTCCTCTTCTTGTGCCCCTACCTTTTGAGGAGGTAAGGTGTCCGGTGTAGTTGGGTGACTTCTGTCAAGGATGCAGGAGGAATCCCTGTTGGGGCAGTTGGTTGGGCTGGTGAGCACCCAAGGTATCTGGCTCTATGGGACTCCTGCCCAGCTGGGACTTCCATGGGTTCTTGGTTTCTGTTCCCTCAACAGATCTTTGATGCCTTCACCCCAAGGCTTCAAGATTCCAGCAAGAAAGTGAACCAGTGGGCACTGGAGTCTCTTGCCAAGATGATCCCCCTCCTCAAAGAGAGCTTATACCCCATGCTGCTTTCCATCATTATTGCTATCGCAGACAACCTCAACTCCAAGAACTCTGGGATTTACACTGCTGCTGCCACTGCACTGGATGCAATGATTGAGAACCTGGGTGAGTCTCCGGCTTGGTCCCTGGTAGGCTCTGGTAGGCAGCTGGCTCTGCATTCACCACACCCACCTTGCATGCTTGGGAGTCAGCAGAGTGGTTTCAGGCACTGGTTGGTTCTCAAGCCAAATGTTTCTCCTAAAGCTGCATAGAGCAGGAGTGGGCAGCCTGGGACCTCTGAGACCCTACCTTCTCACACCATCCATGCATCTTAGATGGTTAGGAGTGGAGGAGGTCTGGAGATTATCTAGTCTGGCTTCCTGATACATATGAGAGACATGGCTCATCCACAGTCACTCAGCCCCACAGCAGATGAGCCAGGAGTGCTGGGGGCAGATTTCAGCTGGCACTGAAGAAAGAGTAGATCAGGATCATCAAGAAGAAATGGGAAGGGTTTGCCAGCATTTTCTTTAGTTGTAGAGTTGGCAGCAGCAGATGTAGCTTCTGTGGATCCAAGGGGGATGCCTGTGAGACAGCAGAGCAAGCCTATTAGAGGAGGAGTTAAAGTTGATAGGTGGGTATAAGTGACAAGCCACCTTGACTTTCTGGCACTGGAGTCAAGTTGGGATCCCGTTGACTTTTTGAGCATGTCATGGATGAAAGTTGACTTTTTGGAAGATTGTTTGGGACCGGGGCTTGAGTTGGGAGATTTGTGGAAGTGGGTGGGGAAGGGTAGTGGAGTAGGGTTAAAGAAGAGAGAAAGGAACAGAAAGGAGCTGTGGAAGAGACATCAGGAAAGCTGAGAGCTTCTCAATTCCTTCTCTGCTTTCATAATAGCACAGCTTGATTCCTGAATATTTTTAGGTTGAATTTGTGGTCCCTCTCCTTCAGTTCTCCTGTTCCCTTCATGGGTGATTAGAAAGTTGATTTTTGGTATAGCCAGCAGATAGACTGAGCACAGGTTCAAAATGTCACAAGGATGAGGGGAGGGAGGCATGCAATGAGAAAGTAGGATATGAGTAGATGTATATCCAGACTGGTAGAATTGTGTGTTTTCACAAGCAATTTTTTGCATCAGTGTGAGAAAGCTGAGGCTCTGAGGACTCCCTTTGCTTGCTGCCATGTGTCCTGATGAAGACAGAAGCCATGTCTTCCTCGATCACCCACAGACCATCCTCATAGTGGGCTGGAAGCAACTCCTGGCATGCCTGCCTGGACCTCCCTGTCACTACTCCCTGGCCTAAGCCCAACTTTGGGACTGGGACAGTGGCTGTGTCCTTGTCTGGGGCCTCCAGGAGAAGTTTCAGTTACAAATCAAAGCCCTAGTCAGGCCCATCTCCGCCTCTCTAGTTCATAAATATTGTCAATTTCTGCTCTTCATCTCAGAGGGAATTTATGATTTGCTGAGTTTGTTGCTGTAGAACAAACAATATAAATCCAGCTCTAAATTACAGCTTGTTTTCAGCGCTGCTCCGGGTAAGTGAGATTGCTGTTGCCAATAACCAAGGTTCTTGGTAAATCACTGTGGGCCATGGATTTATTGGGAAAACCTACACCAAGTAAAATAGTCCTTAGCTATTTGAAGAGGATAAGTACCCTTGTCTGGGGAGAGGAGCTCTTAACTCTTCCCTCTCCTGATGTTTTAGTTCCCACTTTTACCTTAGGGCCAGCCTCCTAGAGCATGCTGGAGCTCAGGAGCTCTAGGTTGCAGATTCTGGTGTCTCACATTGTCATGAGACTCAGGTCTCCTGTAGGTGATACCGGTTGTACCCACCTGGGCTGGGCAGTCTAGAAAGGGGGCTTGAGGATGACTTGCCTTTGTGATTAGGCTGCACCTAGAGACAGGGTTGCAGCCACCAGAAAGGTGCCTGTAGTTCTCCTTGCCTCCTGGCTGGGGTCTCCTTGGATGTGACTGATGATTTGCCTTCTGGTCCATGAGTTTTGGTGTGGGAAGAGTGGAGATAGGTATAAGGGGGACTGTCTTCTTCTCTAATCCTTAGGTCAGTGCTAGGGTTGGAGTGATATTCAAAGGGGTGAATTGACCCCAAAATATCCCTGGCAAAGGCCAGGTTTAATCTCACAGTCTTGGATCCAGGGGGCACCTGGAGCAGGTGGGGCAATGGACTAGTTGGGCCAAATGGCTTTACTGTGAGCTACACCCTCAGCCCAACTAGCTGATTTCCTCATCCAGGTAGGTAAGAAGGGGAGGGATCTAGGTTGCCAACAAGGAGAATTCATCATTGTCAGGAAGTACCAAGGGTAGATACAAGTTCTTTTTGGGAATGGTTTTCATTTGCCTGGAGTGGTCTGATCCTGTTCCAGAGAGGACAAATGGATGGAAGGAATGAAACTTCCCACTGTTACAGGAAATTGGGTTAGAGCAGCTCAGGGCTTCAGATTGGTTCTTCCCAGTTCATTCATGGCCAAAAAAGTGAAACCAGAATGGACCAGAATTTGAAAATATGGAGGTCTGGAATAATAACTGGAATGGGGAAAATTATGGGCCAGTGGTGCCAGAAAGGTAATTTCCCTTTTAGAGAACAGCTGGAGGGTGTATGTTGCATAGCAACCAAATTTCTTGCCCACTGGAAACAGTGGTGTCCTGCTCAAAGATGGCAGCCAACCACACTACTTAAATGTGTGCCGTGCTCCACAGTCCTGGCAATAATGCAATTTCCTGCATCAGGCTCCTGAAAGGGCTTACTATGCTACTTTTGAGACTCCCATTCCAGGGCTTTGATTTGTAATTATTCCCAGTCCAATCATTGATCCAGGCACCTACAATTTTCAAATTCCAGTATGTCCTAGTTTTGCTTTATTGGCCATGACTGAACCAGGAAGAATTGGTTCAAAGCCATGGAGTGGCAGAGACTGGACAGTGGGACAGGAGAGAAGGGGATGTAAGTCTTCCTTCCCACATCATTCAGGCTGAGTCTGGTGATGCTAGTGGTTCTGTGGGGGGTCCCTAGCATCCTGAGACCCCCTCCTAGATGTGGCTTGGAGCCTTTTGGATTGGAGGGAGCTTTCTCCTTAGTTTGCTTCTTCACGCCCCACAAAGGATTCTGGGCTCCAGACTGCAGCTGAACTGTTAAATGCTGCATAGTACTTAAATGTAGATAGTTACAAAGCAACACCTCAACAGGTCACTGTTTTCTGCTAAGTGTGGGGTCTAAAGGATCAAGAACACAGCCAGGCTAGACCATCTTCTGGCACAAAAGTCCAGAATTGGCCAAATGTGGAAGTTGCTCTTCTTGGGCTTGGTAACTAGGTGACTTCTTAAGATCTCTTTTGATTCTGGAATTCAATGATAAAGTAGACTTAGCAGCCTAGTCATCTCTTCTAGTTCCTTGATTTTCCCTAGGGTGGGTGGATTGAGTGGAACATTGGTGACAAAATGGCTTGTGGTTCCTGCCTATGCCTCTTTTTTGGCGTAAGGTCCCTAGGTGGTGCAAATGGTCGGTGCTCAACTGCTAACTTAACAGTTGGTGGGTTGAAGCCACCCAGTGGTGCCACAAATAATAGTCCTGGCAATCAGTTTCTGTTAAGCCAAGAAAATCCTGTGCAGTAGTTCTACTCTATAATATATGGTGACACCATGAATTGGAATCTCCATGATGGCAACTAACATCAGCAATACTTTTTGGTGAGGTCAGAGAGGACAGTGTTTGGCAACTTGCTCCCTGACCTCGGCTGCGGCACTGTGAGCCTCATGGACTCTCCAGGGCTGAGTTGGAGTGATGTCCTTTCTGCTCAGCACCAAGGCCTTTTGATTACAGGAAAATTGATTTGGGATCAAGAAATTCCTGGAGCAGGCTGGTTGACTCCTTCTTTGGTCTCTGTTTCTGAGTTACCCACCCACAACCATTGAGTCGATTCTGACTCATAGCTACTCTCTGGCCAGAGTAGAACTGATCCATATAGTTCCCAAGACTGCAAATCTTTAAGGAAGCAGATGGCCTGTCCTGTGGAGCAGCTGGTTGGTCCAAACTGCCAACGTTTTGGTTAACAAATAAGTGCCTTAAGTACCGCTCCACCAGAGTGCCTTGTTACTGAGTTAGTTACAGAAGAAACCTCACGAGTTGCACCAGGCTGCTGACTGCTCATTGAGCCCCCCCCCCCCGCCCCCCTTAGAGCCTCACAGCCCCACACTCAGGCTTCTCAGAATCACAAGGAGCTCATTTAATTTCATCTAGCCCCTGGCCAGTGCTGGAGAGAGCAGATAAGCTTGGAATGGGGTTAGCTTCAGATTCATTTCTGTTATTTTGCTCCTTGACTTTGAGTTTATTACTTTATGTAAATCATATGACCAACATTATTTTGTTAATGAAATTTAAAAATTCAGTTATGATGCCCCTCTAATATACCAACTGCTTAAAAATTTCTCTATTATCTTCTGTTCCTTGTCTCTGTGTATACAAATTTCCCAGGTTAAAAATCATAATGTAAACACATTTTATTTTGCATCTTTCTTAAAAATACCACCTTATACCCAGTTTCCCATGCTACTATGCATAAACCTTTATAGTGAACTTGTTCCTGGGCGGTGTAAATGGTTAATGCACTCAGCTGCTAACTGAAAGGTTGGAGGTTCAAGTCCATGCAGAGGTGACTCAGAAGAAATGATCTATGTCTGAAAAATCAGCCATTGAAAACCTGGGGGAGCACAATTCTACTCTGACACACCCGGAGTCACCACAATTCAGAATCGACTCTACAGCAACTGGTGTTTTTTTTTTATTGTGATTTGGTTGAAGATTTACAGAGCAAATTCACTTCCCATACAGCAGTTTACATATACTTTGTCTCATTGGCCATGGTTTACCACAATGCAACAGCTCCCCTCCCACTTCCTCCCCATAGTTAGCTTTTCCCAGTGTCCATCCCTCCATGGATTTCTGCCCCCTGAGCTGTCTCCCTGTGCATAGGCAGCCCTTCTTTCTCAATGATTGTTCTCTCCAAGGAGTGTATCCACCTCAGGTAAATGTTCAATTCGTATGCCTGTCTTCTGTTTGGCTGGAAACCACAGCTGTGGGTTCAATTCCAGACCTGAAAGGCAGCTAGGGGCC